GAATGAGGCATTAAACATTATAACACAGGCTTCTGGTGGTCTTCATGCACATTTAGTTGAGAGAACAACACTCCCTAGTGGAGGGGTATGGACACTTGAGTAGTTTTTATTCAAATATTTCTTGACAAATTTTGCCTGGAATTACTGTAACTTGGTCTAAATTAATTATGAAAGAAGTAATAAAATAATTACATTAAAAAAATCCTGGCGTACACAATCAAAAGTCCCATAATTCAGATGATTCTTAAATACGACAGGTCAGACGTTCCCATTTCATTGAAATCTAAGCAGGTCAAGTCCAATGAATAAAATGTTTTGGTACAAAGGTGAGGAGTAAACTGCTTAAGGCAAAAACGCCAAATAGAAATTAAACATTGAGTAAATTTAATAGAAAATAGGCCTTTTTTTCAGTCTGTAACAATTGGAAACTTTAGGAGCAAACTGAATCTTCTTCACACTTTAACCCAAAAATCATTCGAGATGAAGTGGACAGAGGATGTAAAAGTGTAAAACAGTATGATTTATTCATTATATGCTTTAATTTAAGAAAACACAGAGACATGTACATTTCAATAACAACAGGACACATGCGTTCGAAAGCTTTTGACTCCAGTCTTTAAAAAAACATGCAGACTGAGCTGTTAACATTTATGTAGCACCTGCAGGTTTTCTCACTGGATTGACAAAATGCTTTTGCATCCGTTTAGTGTGAAAAATGTACATACAAATGAAAATTTACAATAAAACCGGATGGATGAGAAAAACATATAACTTGGACAACAGTATATACAAATAAGTGTAAAGACATTCTAGTGTAAAATATGTTCATGTTTGCTGGAATCAAATAAATACCAGAGCTACTCCAATTTGTCCAGCAGCTGGCGAATGTCTTCTTGGCCACGGTAAATTCTCTTGACTCCTCTTGGTAGATAACGGCAGGATGAAAGGTTGAGGTAGCTAAGAGCAGACATCTGGCCGACGACTGACCTGCAAGATAAAGTGCAGATACATTTATTTTTACTCATGAAATCCTTGGGAAAAAAACGTAAAACCTGCAGCACTCAGGATTTACAAATTTGATTCATGCTCAGTTCTTTGTATCTGCAGACTCTTTAAAGTGTTGGCAGAGTTAAGGGCAAAATTATACCTGAGGGCAGGGGGTGTGATCCTTGTTCCACTCAGGTTTAGTGAACGCAGCGTATCCGCCTCTGTAGCCTGAGCCAGGTAACTCATTGCTATCTCCAGGTCCTCCTCACTAAAGAGCTGATTCGCAATGTCGAGCTGTTGCAAAGTCCGACTCCACTTTTGGGTCACTGCGTGAAGTCCCTTCTTATGTGAGGACAACCCGATATGGCTGCTGAAATACTGACCCCAGAACAGACACTCCAGCTCTGCCAAATCACAAAGAGTGAAAACAGAGCAAAGTATTTGTTAATAATTGGGTTTGGCGATGCCAAATATATAAAGAAATTCTGTAAAATTTTGACATAAATTCACATCTTTTGTGCAATGTTCATTATGTTATACAAAACGTTTTGAGGTTGGCAAACATTAATGCTGATACTATTCATCGGTCGATATAATCAGTCAACTGATCATTTTAAACACATATATACCAATAATAATGCAAACACTGCTGGGAACTTTATAAGTAAAGTCAAAATAATTATACAATATTCCCATTCACACAAGAGATCAAAGGGACCTTTCAGTATGTGCTCCAATTACAGGTCGTTTTTTAATCACACTTGAGTAACTTTATAAATTAAACAAAGTGAAAGTGTGAATTTCATGGGTAAGACCTACCGGGACAGGGTAATGTTGCGAGGCCGGATGGAGTTATTCGCGAACAGCCTCGCAAGTCCAGCACCCGCAGCTTGGTGGAGCTGAAGAGAATGTCCCACAAGTCTTTGTCGGTCATGTAGGAGTAAGATGTGGTTGCAATGCAAAGCTCCTCCAACAAAGGGAACCCTGACGTTGAGTCGGCACCATTACGCATTGTCTTATGCAGAGGTCTGACATTCAGCATACGGAAGGTCTGACAGGAATTACAATGGATGTTCAACAGATTGACATGTTCCGTAGGTAAACACGGCAGTTTAATGATTCAGAGAGAAAGTCCTGCTCAGGGAGAAGACAAACTTCAGGGCTTCAACTACTGATTATTTCTTTTTGTAGATCACATGTCTTGTTTGGTCTGTAACATATTCCGTTTTCAAAATGATACATCAAATCAAATCCTTAGTATCTTGAGAAATATGTACTGTTGATTGACTAATCAATTTGTTTTCTTGTGTGCACTAAAGCTGTAAAATGTATTGTTTAAAGTGATCTGTTTTTTCAGATGGCATTACTACAGTTTCAAAGTAAGGAAATTACAGTGTCTTGTAAAACATAAACTTACAACTGCATTTAGACGTCACAATAGATATATTGGCATTAAAACGTTGAGGTTTTTTTACCTTAAGTTTCGGGCATGCCGTCTGTAGAGCCTGGATGCAAATGGGGAGTTCACAGTCTTTGCTGTCGAGCCTTGTGTTGACCTCAAGCAAATCCAATTCAGGACAACACCCTCTCTGGTAAATCATACACAATGTGTTAATTTGTGTTTATTGGCTTTGATTGTGTGTAACTAAGAAATTAAATAAACATATGGAGAGAGAGGCTTACAGTGATGGTGGTCAGAAGTCTGTCATTCTTTAGTCCATGAGTGAACCAAATCTGCTTGATCTGGCTCCCATGATTCTCCAAGTACTCCAGGAGTCCATCAACCTGATACTATGGGAAAAAAACAGTGAATAACTAGATCTGTGTAAAATAAACACCTGCTGGGATATACTAACTTAGGATGATATGGAAATTAACCAGATATAATTTAGAGAATTTCTTCTAAACTTGAAGCTGTTGAGAGCCGATGATAAACATTAAAAATGCCACAATGCTGTCCAGGATTTTCTAACCGTGAAACTAACCAGTACTTTGTGGACATTTTATAAAAAGCTGGTCAGCAACATACCTCTGAGTTCTGAAGATTTAAGCTCTGTAGTGACCGGCTGTGCAGACCAAGGCTTTGGAAGGCACTCACTGTCAGGCCTGTGCAGTAAGAGAGTGTGAGGGAGCGAAGGTGAGGGCAGAACTGCGAAACAACCTAAATTTGATCACAATACAAATAGAAAAAAACATACACAGATATAAATACAACATTTTCCACTGAAAAAACATTTTGTTTCTTAGGATTAAGAATTTTTTTTTTTTTTATTGTGCAATACAAATCATTTTGTCCAACAAAAATATGTCAATATGTGATTTAAGATGCCTCTTAACTTCAACATCCAACCAACTGACCAACATCAAAACATTTCACTAAGTTCTCATATTAGAAAAACAACAGAGGTTGGTTTTGAGTTTCCTGATGATATTTTCTTTTGATTGATTAATCGACGACTTGTTACAGTTCCAGATGGCACTGAACAATCTTGACGACTCACCTCTACTGCATAGTTAATGTTCTTTTTCCAGTGACAGAGAGAAAAGTCTCGTAGCTGAGAAAATCTAGAGAAAAAGAAATTAGAAAACTTCCTTTACGATGGTAAAAATATTGGCACAAACTAAATCCCAGTTCACATCATGAAAATTTCAAAACTCTTCATAAAACTAATAATATAAACCTGTTTTGCGCCAGCCAGTCAAAAGTCTCCATAATCTTCTTCTCAGTTTTAGGGAGCTGTGTTTTCCCTGGTGCAATCCAGCAGTGACCTACAGTCACTTTACGCCACAGGACCGGACTGGAGGCTGCGGCGTTCCACAGTCGACAGACTCTCCCCACCCTGCACAAGAGACACAGCAGACGAGAGGGATTCATTTCAGCTCCCAAATTCACACAGATCGATCGAGCGAATAATCATCAGTTACACTGATCATGACATAATAGTGTGTCCATAATCTTGTCATAGATGACGCTTACAACTTTTACTCCACGTGTAAAAGGTATTCTGCTAATGTGTAATCATTAACTGGTTCAATCATTAACTCAAAGTTGACTTCAAATCAAATGTGTTTAATACCTGCATAGGAATGGTACAGCTCCGTCTTGAACGACCACCATCTGAAATATATTGACTAGCACCTCCTCAGGTAGACTTTCACCCCATCTGTGATCCGCTGCCTTCTGTGGCACATAAACAGTAATGTCCTCTTCTGTGTTGGTGACAGGATTACTTGCCGGTTTAGGTTTGGCACGGACTGTGGGTTTTTTCTTTATCTTTTTGGCTTTTAGTTTTCCTTTAGCGAGCTTTTTCTTTTTGCCTCCCTTCTTTTGAGGCTTCCAGGCTGAACCATCATACTGTGAAGTGGTACTTGATATGACCAGAAGCATATCTTCTCCTTGATGGACAGTGTAGCCAAGTTGGGAAGACCTGGAGACTGGTGCCTTTTTTCTCTTCTTTGTTTTTGCATTTTTTATTTTACCAGCGCTCCTCTTCAAAGATGCCTTTTTTGACTTTGGTCCATCTCCTCCTGGAGCGGTTTTATTTGAGGTGCTTGGTGCAGTGTCGTCTTTTCTTTCACTGTGGGTTGAAGCTTCCGCTGCAGAGGAATCCATCGTGTGCTGCTATCTCGTCTTTATTGTGAGCTTCATTTCAAGACAACCACACATCTGAAGAGTAGCGACATATCAGCATCTAAAAACAGAATTATAATATCATCAGTTATTAACAATCTACAGGGGTTTAACACAATGTTACACACGGCGGTAGAAGAATCCTGCACCAGCTGGGGTGGATATGTGACGATGAGTCCTTGTGCAGTTGATGTTTGTGAAACAAAATGTTCAAAATCCCAAACACAGAGTAAAGTATCATCCTCACAGTGATCATTTACTGGTTCTGGTTAACTGGCTGATAACAGTCTCTCTTTATGTGTCCCTGCAGGTAATAAACCCTTTTGTGACTCATCTGTATGAACGAGACTTTACCTACACTACACATACACCTGTGGGACATTCAAGTGGCAGACAACAGGAAGTCCCAGTAGTCACAGATAACTAAGCAAGTCAAGAACAATTTTGAGATACTTCTACCTCAATCTTTTAGTCTTTTATAATACGCCATGCAATTGTACGCTTCTTCGTCATATTACGTCACAAAACGGAGCCGTCTCCCCCGTGAACTGTGAAGAACTCAATGGAGGCAGGTTGTGTGTGGATCAAGCCGAACCACTGCGTGTGCGCGGGCTGCACCAACTCCAGCCTGTCGGGCCACCGCGTCCACTACTCCCCCGACACGAGGAGGAACGAAGCCGGACACAGACCGGACTTCACCGCCGAATCTGTGACGAAGAACGCGCAGGTGCGCAGCGCCCACTTCGGGGAGGACGACTACGACCCCAGCGACCCGGCGGAGCTGCGGATGGGAACCAGAACCGAGGCTGACAACAAACGCGGCTCCTTCGATTCACCACGAAGCTTCTTCAGGTGAACTTGTCGCTGCAGCGTGTGACTCCGGTGCTTCGCGGAAACACGACCTGAGCCCAGTAAGTGTTGTTTATCTCTTGTGATGCTAGCTTCCGTATGAGTTAGCACGATGCATTTGTTGTGAACTAGTTGGAGTGACGCTCACTAGCTTAAAATGCTAACGCTGACATTGTGTGTAAACTGAGCCCGCTTGTATTGTAACTAGCTTCCAAACAAGTCTCCCTCCAACAGAACTGAACAGAAATCAAGACATTAACAACTTTAAAAAAGCAAACGCAAATAATTTTCCAGCAATAACAACGAGCACCTCTTCTTCTTTGTTATTGTTTTTGACGTTACCTGCTGCTAGCTCTCGCAAACTAGCCAGAAGTCCCACAATGCATCTCTCCTCCGCTCTGTGATTGGTGGAGATATCGGCAACGGCCCGCCTTCTGTTTAACTGTCCAATCAGAGGCTTTTAAAGATCCCCTTGTCCAATCACGGGCCAGCTTAATGTTCGCAACCTTTTACCACGCGAGGAGCGAGGACGCTGCAGCCCGCGGTGAGAACTCATGGTTTTTAACTCGTGTTTCTTTTCCCTGTTTCTCCTCGTGAAACTTTCTGGAAGCGTCGCAGCTTCTCTGCTCCGGGGTTGTTATCAAGTGTACGGCCGGGTGTTGTGCTCAGTTTCCCCGCATCTCAACGTCGGCGCTAACTTTTAGGCAGGTAGCTCACAAGGCTAACATTAGCACGCGGGGTGGGGGGCTTTGATGTTGTGTTGAAGCTTTGATCTAGTTGTGTCACAGCCGGTGAATCACGTGTTGTTTTGTTTATTTTGGTTTGACAGGAAACAAAGTGTTGTTGTAGATGTTGTTGCTCACACACGTTTCCAGCACCAGGTTCCTAAACTCACAGTCATGACTAACAAACCTCTGCACATCTGTTTTCTTACCTGTGTGTAAAAATGTGAAACAGCTGATACAAACATGTGCAATAACTATTCACACACACACACACACACACACACACACACACACACACACACACACACACACTCCATACAGTTACAGTTTTTACTTCATGTGCAACAAATGCCACACTGCACCATTGAATGTATATGGTTTTAGTTTTTTTACATTAAGCTCTTTCCACCCTACTTTCGTTTTAATTTAACTATTGGACTGCTGAGCTGACAGGTTTCTTTTTTGTTCCAACCTCAAAACTTACTGAACGTGACGATTACACCATTTACTAGATTTAAATGAGATTTTGAGTAATATTTTATCGACTTTATTGTATCCTTTAATATTCTCATTCTCATCCCATCATTTAAACTATTCTGATATTTGTGCTCTCTAACTTAAAAACTAAATGTTGACACGTGTTAACGACTTGTTTTCTTTGTCAGGAAAGAATGGCGGATTTGGGCAGCGCTTCGTTCTCCGGGACAACACTGAAAGTATGACCCTTGTTTCTGTTCTGTTTCATCTACTTGCTCAAACAACATTCACTGAAAAAAATAAGTAAATGTGCTTGTTTTCAGAGCCTCTGATGCAGTTTACTTCTGATGATTATTGTCTTTCATCAGTATCATTCTTGTGATTTGTTTTTTGTATTTCTGGGTCCAATATGTTGAAATACTATGTGACAGTGAAACGTGAATAATAATTTACTCCGGTCATATAGACATTGTTATGCTAAAAATTGTTTATTGGCATGGTTGACATGTCTATAAAGGCAAAATCAAAAGCAGTGAAAATTGCTTTAATACCCCAGCATTTTGTCATGATGTTTGCATTCCCGTTTTCTTTCTCTTTACAGATAGTGAGGATTTAAACTTTACTAATGTTTCCTCTTTTAAACATTACAGAACACAGTCGACGAGGGCGAAGGTTTCTCTCTTTGTGGAAAAGCAGTTGTAGCTGAAGCTGATCTGAGTAAGATGAAAATATTTAATGTGAAAACATTGACCATGTAGAAAAATTGCTCTTACGATGACTGCGTGAGCTAATTGTCTATAACATAATTATTATCTCTAATCACTCTGTGTCTTCTCTGTTTTTCAGGAGATGAGTACTATTGGAAGCTTGTTGCAGATTTCATCGGTCCTCAGTCGGGGGAAGGATTGGAGCTTGAACAGACGACATGCAAGAACAGACTTCTGATTCAAGTGGGACTCATGAGAGAGGAGAATAATTTTCCTTGGCTTGCCATTGTTAACTGGCTCAAAAACATTTTCCCGAGGCACCATTCAGCTGATTTTCGTCGGCTAATTGAAAGAGGCATTGCGACAACTTTGAGTCTGGGAATTGTAGCGAGACTGACCTTCATGGCATCAGATGTCAATTTTAACTTTGTCGGCCCCATATGCGACAGCATTGGCGTTGAACGACCACATCTTTTGGAAATGAGGGATTTTTCAGAGCGAGCGCAATCGATTGAAGTCACAAATGGATTGATTCTTGAGCTGAGCAACTTTGTCACGAGGGAGAAGCTCGCCCCAGTCATCATAGTAACCTGGCTTAGAAACTTCAACCCTGAGTTTTGCAAGAATGGGAATATTCAAAGTGCTTATAAAATCCTTAAATCCAAGATAAAAAAGGTGAAATTTTGTTACCGCAATTATGAAACAAGAAGTCACAGGAGGAACGCAGCGATGGAGAATCTGCTTCAAAGTCCATTTGAACTGGTGCCCAAAAAAGCACCTATAATTGTTTCAAGGAAACGCATGAGAAGAGATTACAATCATGAAAAAGTTAAAATCAAGGAAGAATACGAGAGCTTTGAAATCATGCCAGGCGAAGGTTCTGAGATGAACCGAGGGGTCGTGAAGAAAGTAATAGTGAAGGAACACGTCTCTTTACGAGAAGAAAGTGATGAGAATTTGGAAGAATCCAGCAGTGGAGAGGAAATCTTCGACAGCCGGAGGCCCCTGACGCTGCTCGACATCACAATGATGTCTGTTCACAAGCTGTCAAGAGTGGATGGTGGGAAAACTGCAGAATGCAAAAAAGTTTCCTTGGACCTCCTCAAAAATCACTTCACTCTTGCATGCAAGGTGCAGCCAGCCATGGCCGAGTTTGTGAACAAAGTCAATTCGCTCAGTGAGGCGATCTCACTGGTTTCTCCTGTGAACTTTATACACTACAACGCCAATTTCCTTGTTGATGTACATGATGCAGTTGAGCAGCACATTTTGAACTTTGAAAAAGAGATCACTCTCTCAGCAGGAGAGAAGCTAGGCCGTGACAAGCTTCCAAAGTTCAAGGGTTTTGTGAATCTACAAGAAAGTGCCACCTCACGCTACATCCACATGGCTAGTGATATCCTTAGCCCTCGAAACACTGATTGGCAGAACTCCCAAAAACACTGGATCGCCTTCTGTGAGGAAAAGAACAACCCGTCCAAACTCACAGCAAATCAGTCGAACAAATTCAACAACTACTTTGAAGCTGCAGCGGGTCTCATTCACCATCACAAAGAGGTTGCTCCCTTCTTCTCTGATGTGCTGTCACTGAACAACGATGATTACTCAAACGTCATTCTTGAGAGCGTTGCCGCTGACGCTAGTGATTCCATGATTCAGAGCCTTGTGTGCGTTCTGGCCATCATTTACTGCAAAATCCTCGGTCCGTACTGGCAGCTTATGAAAAGTGGAGGCGAGTTCTCACTCTTTGGCCAGTACATGCTCCGTCTTTACCAAAGGTTCCTTGATTGGTCCAAAGATCCTTCAACTCTGCTGGAGCCTGAAGAGATTACAAACGTTTTTCTACAATGCCCATCGCAAGAGAAAACCTTTGATGGTGTGTTTCATTACTGTGGTCAGTGGCACACAAATCGGGACCTGATCAAAGCTTGCTTGAAGAGGGCGGTAAAGGTAATTGCAGGCGTTACTGAGGAACACCTGAAGGATTTCCTGCCAGGAGGAAAATTTTCCCAACTCCCTTCACCAGATTTAAGCCTGCAACTGGCGAGTTGCACGTTCTCCGTCCTGATGGAGAAATATCCCGTCTGCCATACGTACTCTTACAAGAAGAAAAGATCTGACAAGTCCCCGAAACACTCTGCACAGAAGAGCTTGACATTGGACAGCTCTCAGGAGGAAGAAGGCCGGTCTGGTTCCTTGGATTACAGCTCTGATGAATCTTGCGGTGGGAAAGCTAAAAAGAATACACAGTCTAGCCAACAAGATGACGGTAGCAGCATTAAAAGAGAAAGGTCAGTGAGAGTACAGGAAGAGACAGAGGAGAACATGGACAGTAATTACATAACGTCCACAGTGAGGAGGAACGGAGGGCCGTGCATGACGCAGCAAGACGTCGACAAAATGATGCTGCGCTTTGATGGAAAACCCCGGCTGGAGAAACGAGAAGCGATTCGTTGTGAGATACTGTACCAGAAGATGATTCTCAACAACACCAGCCCACACTTGAACAGCATTTTCCACAACTCCACAGAGATGGTGCTGAAGCTGAAGCTTGCACTTCCACGACTTAAACCTGGGTTCTCTCTGGTTTTGGCTCCTAAAAAGACAAAACCAAAGAAGGTGTTCTGTGAACCGAGTGCAGCTGCAACTGAGCAGAAAGAAAGCAGCAGCACGGGCAGAACGTGAGGGACAGTGGCTGTTGAATGACCCCTGCAGAAATACACACTGTTCACTGCTCAGTATTTCAACATAATACAGGATAGACTCGTGTTCATCATTCTGACTGTGTCAGATGAAGCTGTCATGTTGAGCTGTACACCGGTGAGCTCATGTTTGTTTGCTTGTTGCCTTTGCTAACGACACAGAAAAAAGGATGTTATATTTTCTGTGGAAGACAAACAAACTGCAGCTGCCTCTTAAAACACAAACTGAGAGATTTCATGTGATGGGTCTTTTTAGATGCCAGGCTTGTTTGATGCCATTAGAGGGAAATCTTGTTAGATTTATTACTTCTTTTCCTGATATCAGTGAAGATTTTACCTATTGTGATCATGCAGAGATCAGTCAGTCACTACTGTTGACTTAAAAGATGTTTAATCAATGAATCGCTGTCTTTGTTTATATATATATATAGCATATATATCAACCTTTGTGATAAAGTAGAAACGGTTAAACAACAGTCTAATCATTGAGAGTTAAATGTTACAAAACAGCCTCAGCTTTATTTTCACTTGTGTATTGACCCAGCATTTCTTCGGTCACATCGTTACCATGAGTTCCTCGGGGCACAAAGGGCATTTGTGGTTGCATCACATACAGCAGCGATGTCAGTGAGTTCATGCTTATAGAAGCTTTGACTGGGAGGGCCTGAAGAAAATGAGGTGGTAATAAAGAGATTCATGGGGTCATTGTGCCAGAATGTTTTTATTTGAATTCATTTTTAACTATAATCCCAAAAGAAGGGCTCCAGACCTCTGTATATGCGGTCTATGCTGCAGACCTCTGTATATACAGTCTATGCTGCAGACCTCTGTATATACAGTCTATGCTGCAGACCTCTGTATATACAGTCTATGCTGCAGACCTCTGTCTGATGTTTTGGGAGATCAAACAACTTTTATTTACTTCAAAACGAACGCACCATCTTCTGATGCTTTCAGGAGCGTCAGAAAATTGACGAATCCACTAAATATTGTACAATAATGGTATAATATTTTTCTTATATATTGTATAGCTTTTTTTTTTTTTTTTTTTAAACACAGAGTTTACAAAGTGGTTTGACAGCAAAGCAAGAAAAGTAAATATAAGAGAAATAACAATCAGCAGGATGCAATGTGACCAGGACCCCCAGACAGCCACGTTCAGGTGGTCGGATACAAAGGATTATGTCATATGAAGTTAAAGACAAAGAAGTAAAAGAAAAGGTGATAAGAAAACGATAAAAACTGTAAAAAAAAAAAAAAAAAACTTCAACATAGTAATTTGGTTTGTCCGCTGTGGGCCACTGCAGAATTATCGTGGAGCAACATGGCAGCCTCCGTGGAGGATGACCTGCTGTTGCACAAACAAAGACTCGTTCTAAAGTAATGAAAACACGATGATCCACCTGACTCACTTCACAAATGAAACCAACTCCAGTAATATGAAGTTCCAGCTCTGCCTTTCACTGGACCTTTAAGTTTGTGTTCTGGTCATTTACGAGGGGTACGTGAAGGCAGCAGGGAGGGGGCGGGGACGTCCGCCATTGCTCAGCAGCCTGTGGACCAACATTGTTTGTGTCTCTTCCACATCCACTCGAGAAGATCCCCCCCCCCGGCAGAGTCCCCTCGAGTCCCCCGGGTTCCTCTGGTTCCTCTGGCCGGAGTTGGAGGCACCATGTCCTGCAGCTGGTGGAGCAGCGCCGCGGTGACCCACGCGCTCATGGCCCTGTTCGCTATGGGCTCGTGGGTTTCCGTCAACAGTCTGTGGGTCGAGCTGCCGGTGGTTGTCAATGTTCTGCCCGAAGGTCAGTGATTCAACGAGCCTCCGCGGATCCTCTGTGGCCGTCGCTCGAGTCCTCCGGGCCTCGGTTTCATTATTCTGCTGCCTCAGTGTTGTTTTACCTGTTGTGCTGAAGTCAAGCTAGCGACGTTAGCTCCGCGTGAGCTAGCCAAACATTTAAATGGAGACTACAGGAAGTGATGTAGTTTCTCTGGTTGGAGCCGAAACTTTGTAATGTGGTGTATTACTGTGTATTACTGTGTATTACTGTGTATTACTGTGTACAGTACTCAGATACTTTACTTCAGGACACTGGAAAATACTCCATTGCAAGTTGAAGTAGAGATACTCGCGCAAACAAACGTGATAAGAGGATTTATTAGTGTCACTGCTGGAATATTAGCTGAGTCACTGCAGTAAAACGAGATGGGAACAATAAAGTAATAAGTACACATGCAGTATAAACATGAGGCAATATCCAAGTATCAAGAGTAAATACAGATAAAGTAAAGTATAAGAATATACACAGTGTGAACAGAGTTAAACTCACGGCTGAGTGACAATACACAGGACTGAAATACTGTTTCTGTCTGATCCTGGCTGTTAACATATAAGTACAACACATGTGTACTCAAAACATAGTACACAGTACGACAAAGTTATAGTCAGAAGGCCCACGGTGGATATAAGATAAATACCTTGTTTAATGTTACATCACACTCACAGTCATTATTCATTAGGAGACTGACTAAGTCCTTTATGGGTTTAAGACGATTTAAGTTAAACTTGAAATATTTTAACTGAATGTTTTTTATCGTGACATTTTTTTCTCAATTTTATGTAAGAAAATAAATCTATTGGACTCAATTATAGACAAAATATTGTTGAGCATTAAACCATTCTGGGTAGTATTAATAAAATAAAAGTATTGGAGTACTAAGAACAATAAAATTAGAATAAAATACTTGAGCAAAATACATTGCTAGCACATTGCACTTGAGTAAATGTACTTAGTTACTTTCCACCACTGATTAAAACGTTTATTTTAATGTAACTGAGTACATTTAACTTTAAAATCGAACATCTTATAAAAACATTTATTTCCGAGCCACAGGCTGCAACAACCGATCAAAAGGAGTAAAATATAATTATCACCTATAATGCATATATATAAATATAATCATACAAACATCTGATTATTGAGAGAACGCAGAGTATGAAAACTAAATTGTCAATCTTATATAAATCCATGTAAAGACTCTCACAACTTCATGTTTTTTTTTTTTAAATATTACCCTGACTGATATCTGCTCTCTCGTGTCTCAGGGTGGAACCTTCCTGCCTACCTCTCAGTGCTCATAGCATTTGGGAACCTGGGCCCAATAGCGGTGACGATCACACACCACTGTGCTCCGGGACGCTTGAACGAGCGCCTGGTCATCCACTGCATCCAGGTGCTCGCGGTGGTGGCGTCCGCTCTCCTGGCCATCTTCTGGTCACACACTGTCACGATAGCGGGAGAGAAAAGGTCACTGCCGTTCCTGCTCTTCACCTTCGTGCTGTCTTTGGTTTGCTGCACGTCCAACGTCACCTTCCTACCATTCATGTTTCGTTACCCCCCCCAGTATATCCGTACTTTTTTCATCGGTCAGGGCTTCAGTGCCTTGTTCCCGTGTATTGTCGCCTTAGGACAAGGTGTTGGCAAGCTGGAGTGTAAAACAGTGAATGGGACGGTGAAGCCAGAATACTTAAAAGAGAACTTTCCAGTCCAGAACTTCTTCTGGTTCTTGTTTGTCATGCTGTCGGTCTCGGCTTTAAGCTTCCTGGCGTTGACACGGAGGCAGCAGGCAGAGACGCAGCAAGACGGACAGCCACAGGCGTCAGACGCTGCGGTGGCGGTGAAGAACGGAGAGGAGACGCACCCTCTGCATAACGGAGGGACGCCGGTGTCTGAGGAGCAGGTGCAGGTGGAGGAGCAGCAGCAGCAGCCACCAGCTCAGACATTCTGGACCCCATACAACATCTACCTGCTGGCACTGCTCGCCGTCTCCAACGCCCTCACCAACGGGGTCCTTCCATCAGTGCAGAGCTTCTCCTGTCTGCCCTACAGCACCATGACCTTTCACCTCTCTGTGGTCTTTGGCAACATAGCAAACCCAGTGGCCTGCTTTCTGGCCATGTTTTTCGTCCTCAGGTGAGATCATATAAGGGACATGTAAAATCAAACACATATTTAAACGTATGTTCTTTATATATTCTCTATGTATAAACTGTTTGTAATCATGTTATTGCTCTGCTTTGCTTGTAGGACGGCCACAGGTCTGGGGTTCTTGTCCTTAGCAGGCGGAGTATTTGCTGCATATCTCATGGCGTTAGCAGCTCTCAGCCCCTGCCCTCCACTCCTTGGAAATCCTGCTGGTGTCGCTTTAGTGGTGAGAGTTCATACTCATATCTAGGTTTTGTTTTAGTTTTCCAATAATGTCCTTTACTTTTTCTAAATTTAACTTTTTTTTTTTCAACTAAAGTCAGTGATTATTTGATACATTAAAGAATTACTCATACAAGAAATTTACATATTGAAAAAAAAAAAAACTCTTAACCTAGAAAATCTATGCACAGAGAGTAAATCAAGAAGATTACAAGTCTGAGCAAATAGTCAATGATATCTTTTGGTACTTATATATATGTATCTAGAGGCTGGTATCTGTATCTATATATCTATCTATAGATAGATAGATAGATAGATAGATAGATAGATAGATAGATGTCATTTTCCATACATTAATTTGTGTTAACAGTGAAAAAGTGAAGAATCTAAAGAATCTCAGGGTGATTGATAAATTATTAAAACTTAACAATAAGGTGAAATGTAAACTATGTAAAAGAATATAAAACAATAGTATTTAGGTTTTTCTCTTTATTCATTGGACTTTGATAAATGAAATAATGTAGATAAAATAACAGTAGACTTTATACAACACATTTACAGACACTAAAATTAAAAGGCACATTTTAAAATTGGATTTTTATAAATGTGAAAAATTGTAAATAAATGATTGAATGAGATCATAAACACACAGAAGTTTTAATTTCTCCTTGTTCTTCACGCCCACTTCTGACACCAGCCTCGTGTTTGTGCCCTCTACAGGTCGTCTCCTGGATCATTTTCACCGGCCTCTTCTCATATCTGAAGGTTGTGATTGGGACGTTGCTTCACGAGAAAGGTCACGCTGCCTTGCTGTGGTGCGGCATCTTCATCCAGGCCGGCTCCCTCATCGGAGCCCTCGCCATGTTCCCCCTGGTCAACGTCTATAACGTGTTCTCCCCGGCTCGGGAGTGTGTGGACAACTGCATTGACAGGACATTTTATGATTCCAGTTTTAACACCAACAGCTCACTCTCCGCAGACACATAGTCTGAGGCTCCTGAGAGAAACACCAGATCTCATTTCTACTGAGGGTCATGCCACCTACCTCCGAGGCATCCTCCCCTGAGCCTGCTGAAGTGAAAACATGATAATGGAAGCCCTGTGTCTCTGCATGTTGACCAAGGGGCTACGTGTTGTATGATGCTGTTACACCACAAGTGCATTGTGTGGTCTTTTATAATGGATCACTGTAGTTGAAGTAGGAACCACAGCTGCTGATGTGATATTTCCAGATCATGTGAAAACTTATTTACTCAGGGACACAATAATTAACTTGTTCGTCCACATTTGTTGCTCCTGGAGCAAAGTATTACATGCGTTGCTTATTTTTTGTTGTTTTTCAAATGTCTGACTTCATCTTTCCCTTGATTTCACGTTAGCATTGAATACAACCAGTTCCATCAGTCGGAGACACTATACAGGCACAGCTCAGTAAGGCAGCAGTCAGTATAATGAATACTGTGACGCATTAACTTCTGACATACTCTTCATAGAGGCTGTGACGTTTCTTTTTTCATTCCTACGTGTCGCACAAAACTATGTTTAACTTTGTTTCTCATAATCGAAATAATTTTACCGCTTGTCCACTCTGTGATGTTGTGCTACCTCAAGGGAACAATATCTGAATAGCAAATGAATTAGTGAAAAGCTTTGGGGAGGAAGGGATTTTATCTTGTCAATCTTTGATAAGTGAGGTTATTCTTTTACCTGACTGCCACAGAACAGATGTGTTACTTCATTGAACTAAACATCTGTGAAACGTGCCTCAACTTTATGGCTAAAATCCTGAAATGTTGTTTTTTATCTCTTCAATTTATCAGGTTTTTTTTATGTGAATTTTTCACAAATGTGGCTTTTTTGCAGATTTTTTTTTAATGATTATAATGCAGACATTCATCACGACATTAAACAGCTGGTGTTGGTGAACATCGATGATTCCTTGAGGCTGTTCTTTGCATAATTTGAGAAACAAACACTGATCTTAGCTTTTGTTAAGCTTATTACACTGTAAAGTAATATGAATTGGAATAGTACTAGAGTTCATACCTCGGTCAAGGCAAAATGAGCCTACACAATTCTCTACTTTACATATAAATATAAAAAAAAGATTTTTTTCACAACAATAAATGGAATAATTTATAAATGATCTCTTTTCAAGATTTCTTGAAAATTGCATGAATTAAAACAAAGAAATTGACTGAAATGTGTTTGTTTCATTTCAAATGTGATAATGTGAATAAAAAGACTAAAAAAGTTTAACAGCATTTTACAACAACACTGCCAAAGCTCACCGACACGACATTTCACTGACATCTAATCCATCTTGGTAATTGCAGTTTTTAGTTTTGAATGATTACACAACATCAAAACAATCAATTTTATTTTCTAAAACAACATATTAGGGATTTCTTATACTTTGTGCGTAGCTACTCAAAAGATGAATTGTGTTGTTATGCAACTGAGCGCTGTAAACACCTCTCCCATGATCCCCTTAAGCAGAATTAATAAATTCTGCAGATTCTTGAGTGGGTCCCTCAGATGTTGTTGCCTCCGGGAACATAAATCTGTGATTGAGAGTCTCAGCGTGTGATGTGCAGTGATGAGCTGAAGTCCTGACAGTGACAGTGCTTGAGGTTAAGACGCTGATTAGTTAACCAAACATTTGTCATGGTTGGCTACATGGTCTCACACCCACTCACCCCAAGGAGGGTTTAATCCCCTGGCGCACACACACTTTACTGCACAGGACTGTGGCTTCTCTCTCTGCAGAAAACTCTCCGCCAGACATGTGAGTATCGTCAGGGATGCAAACTATCATCTTTTCGATTTAAATCATTTGAAGTTGCTGTACAGAAAAAGGGGAAACTTGTTGATTTAACTTTTTTCTACTTAAACTGTATATTTTAAACAGCATATTCTGCAGATTTAAATATGATATTGTTGTGTTCTTACTCTGTCTACCTTTCAAAGACATTTCTTTAAATTATGATTGCGCTTCCAGAACTAAATGATAATTCTCTTTCCTAACACAACGCAGGAATCTCTGTATTATTCCTCTTTCTTTTTCAATAACAATGTACTGGTCAGATGTTTTCTTAGGTTATGTAAAGTGACCAGTATAGCAGGTGGTCATGTTTCCTTTGCTGCATGCTCCATGTTTTAGGTTTAACCCACACGCTGCCTGCGAGCAAATTAAATAACTTTGAAAACCTCTCGTACAAAGTGACGGCTTTAGTGTTTAATGTTTCATCTCACGTGTCTGTCGGAGAATCTGCACATGATAGAGAAAGAAGAGAGAACGTATCTTTGGACAATAAAAAATACACATTAACCACATGTAAGAAGAAGTCACAGATTGTTCCTTTAGGAAGAGTTGGAGGAGAATTGTTTCCTCCTGGTGACACATTAATGCTGAGTTAACCCTCTGTTGACTGTTTTTACTCATTGTGAATAATTCTTTGTCTCTGCTGAGCAATAAAGGACGAGCCAGACAGTCACAGGCATGTTTGTTCTTTCCAAAGACATAGAATTACTTAGACTACAATGACAAAACCTTAACCTTACTCTTAACCGGCACCTTGACCAGATTTTATTATTTTCCTTTATCAAAAAGCTCAACTCTTATAAAAACAGAATACTTTTGCATTAAAGTGGAATGCAGATTTTTTTTTTTTGATTTGATGTTTTAACACATTGTTTATGTTGTGATCCTACATATTTTCAAATGGTTACATCTATTAAGTTCTTCTTAAAGAAATGATTACAGAAAACGTAATGTTATCTATTTATAGATGTCGAAATGTTTATTAATACTATGCTAACATACTTTTTGTGCATCTCAGACAGTCTAGATTTACTAACAACTAGCATGTGTCCCAGTTGTACCAAATCATGACTGTTCTTTAATTAAAAACAAATTCCCTAACCCTTCTGCAGCAAAATTTTCCTGTTGCAAATGTTTTAAGCCTTTGTGGATGGCTAACTAAATGTACTATAAAGAGCCAGAAGCTTCATGGGCTATATATTTTATGGCTTGAAAGTAGTCATGCTTTGTGCCTGTGAGCCTAAAGGCACTTTGAGCTAAATGCTAACTTTAGCATGCTTACATATGGCTGTCAACGACAATAACATGTTAAACATTATAACTTTTACTAATCAGAAAACAGCAGATTCAATATTAGACAAATTAAAGACTTGACCTGATTTGGAGCTGATTTAAAAGTTAACCGGGTTCATCATCAAAGGATCATCAAAGCCTGAACTGAATTTTTTGAAAATCGTTGCAACATTTGTCTATTTCTAGAGGAAAACCATCTGAACCATGTCACTCCTCACGCACATTTTGGCATGTCTCTTCGGGATGGGCTCCTGGGTGTCCATCAATGGCCTGTGGGTAGAGCTGCCCCTGATAGTCCCCCAGATCCCCGAGGGCTGGTACTTGCCCTCGTACCTCTCAATCCTCATCCAGATGGCCAATGTCGGGCCTCTCTTCGTCACCCTGATGCATCGCTTCCGGCCCGGCGCCCTGAATGAGACGGCTGTCATATATGCGATCATCGGTCTGGGCACTCTGGCGAGTTTCCTGCTGGGTTTCTTCTGGAAGGAGACGGTTGTAGTGGCAGGCGTTCCTCGCAGTGTCGCCCTCCTCGTCTTAACTTTCTTCCTAGCTGCTGTCGACTGCACCTCCTCTGTCACCTTCCTGCCCTTCATGATGCGCCTCAAGCCTCAGTATTTAACCACCTACTACATTGGGGAGGGTGTGAGCGGCCTGCTGCCTGCTCTAGTGGCTTTAATCCAGGGCGTTGGGGTGGTCCACTGCTTAAACAACACAGTGTCTCTGAACCACAGCTTGAACAGCTCGGTGACCTTTGACCTCCAAGCCCAGTATCAGCCAGCAAACTTCTCTGCTGAGGTGTTTTTCTTCTTCCTGAGCGCCATGATGCTGGTGAGTCTGGTGGCGTTCCTGCTGCTGAACTACCACCCCGCTGTGGCCAGAGAGCATTCCAGTGGCCGGTACACAAACGGCGTGAAAGACGAATCGCAGAAAAACAGGAAGTGGGCTGAGCAGAAGCCGATGATGGATACGTGCGAACCCGCCAACCAGAAGAGAAGAAGCAGTTTTGGCACTGGAGCTTACAGCTGGATGCAGGTGTTCTACATCTCTGTGATTCTGGCCTGGACCAACGCTCTGACCAACGTGGTGCTTCCCTCGGTGCAGTCGTACTCTTGCATGCCATACGGAAACAACGCCTATCACCTATCAGCCACCATGGCCGCCGTGTCCAACCCCCTGGCCTGCTTCATCGCCATGTTCCTCCCGATAAGGTCAGTGTGTTTCAGCTGTAATCAACACAATACAGGGCTCATGGTTAGAAACAGTTTTTAAAAAGTTTGTTTTTATTTCTAAAACCTCAAAATTACAGATTTGCCTTCGAGGCTGCAGCACAAAAGGAAAACGACCTATAAAGAATAAACCCCAGGAGGCGCTAGAGGAAAATTAATGACTTGTTTTAGATATTTTTTGAAAAATGTGAGGTTCATCATTCTTAAATGTTTTAGTTGTTTTTGTGCGAATAACATGATTGAAATTTAAATCATGTCAATCTTTACAGACACAAAATTTAACTAAAGTATTGAAGAGCTTGAGGGTTTGAAGTCGGTAAGAGCGAACTTGTGAACAATATTCACAGAAGTCTTTTTTACATTTAAGAAAAAGATGATTTTCAAGTTGATAAACATTTTCAGGCAGCGCTTGAGACCAGAGCTGCAGCAAATGTTCTTGTTAGTTTTTCAGGTTAATGGATTAACTGCTGATTCGGTTAAAATTCAGAGATTTAACAATTTAACAAAGTCTCAGAACCAAAGTTCACATTTTATGATAGAAAATGGAGAAAAGAAGAAAAATGCTCCACTTTTAGGGACTAAAATTTTTTTTCTGTCAACATGACGAATCAGTTTATCAACTTATTTCCGCTCAAGTTTAGCTTCATGGTTTCATTCCTTCACAAAAACAAAGAAATAGAATCCCACAGAACCTGGGGGAAAGATGAGACACAGGCCAAGAAAGAACCAATTCAGGTTCGTGGCTGATTCAGGAACTTTTCTTCACTTAGTTTCTAAATAAAAAAGTAGATCCCGGCCTCAGAATCAGATCTGAACCTGTGTGATTCCACAGATCCCTGCTGCTGATGGCAGCTCTCACAGTGGTCGGCACCGGAGCTGGAGCTTACATAATGGGCATGGCAGTGCTGAGTCCATGTCCTCTGCTGGTTAACGATACCTCAGGTGGAGTCATCATAGTGAGTACACTCTCAAGTTACACTACTTCTCATATATCAGTGAAAACACGAGATAAGTGAAGGAATCCAGTCTGGAAATGTCTCCTGTCTCTTCTGCCCCACAGGTGTTGGCCTGGATCGTCTTTGTCCTCACTCTGTCCTACGTGAAGGTGATTATCGGCGTGATCCTGCGGGACGAGGGCCACAGCGCTCTGGTGTGGTGCGGCGCTGTGGTGCAGTTAGGCTCCTTGCTGGGGGCCGTGACCATGTTTCCACTGGTCAGCGTCTACAGCTTCTTCTCATCAGGAGACCCGTGCAACACAAAGTGTCCTTAAACAATGACAATGAAAGATTTCCCTTCCGACTTCAGGGAAAAGACGACGTGAGAATCAATTTGAAAAACTTTTTCCTCCTCGTGATGATGGAGACATCTACAAGTTTCCATTTGTTAGAAAAACAAAAAGTATGATGTGATATATAAATGCACTCTGTGTTATAAATGTGTTTGTAGATCTCTATTTACATTTGTTGAAAACTTTAACATCTTCCAGAAGTAAAAGTCAAGCATGAGTATTGAATTAAAAAAGGAAAATTGGTGATTAGAGTTGTTTCCAAAATGTTGAAGCATATTTGCCATTTCAAACTTACTTAACTTTATTTACTTGACTTTCCTTTCGTGTGTGCCTTTCTTGACCTGTGTGCCTTTCTTGACCTGTTTGCTTGTAAGTGGTGTAAAAGTTCAGAGTTTAGAGATTAACACTCTTTCATCTCCGGTCTGTAGAAAATAAGGTTTTCCATTAAGTTGTGTGGAAATGAATAACTCGTAATGTGATGATTCTGTGATGATGTTCTTTTCCTATTGATGTTATACTACATCATAAAGGTATAGTCCGTGTATTAATGAAGAAACACATGTGTCTCTTTTATTTGTGAACATACATTTTTAAGACAAAATGTTTTATTGTCTCCAGCTCAGCATGAAACCATCAGATGATCTCTCTTTTTCTAAAAACATCTTAACCGATTTACAAATTCATCATTCCATATCCCCAAAACTATATATATAAACTCAAATCCACTCTAAACATATGAAGTCATCTTAATCTATATAATATTTTCACATGAATAAATAAGAGAAGCCAGAAACTTGCAAAACCGATAAACAAGTCTCGTGATGTTTCAAAAACCTTACCAAAAGATTATTTCTCTATCAAATAATTGTTATAACTAAAATCATAATTCTAGAGATTAACATTTGCTCCAAAGTCGAGATGATGACTGGACGCTGATCATTTCTGGTCAAATATAGAAATAAATACAGATGTGATCTCTAATTCTGAGTTCAGGTGACGGGACATTTTTAGTTGTTGACTCCGTAAAGTTGAGTTCTTCCCCCCTGTCCGTCCCTCTGTTGGTTGGTTGGTTTGTGGTTTTGTTTTTCAACAGGATTATAAACTACAGCACAGATTTTCATGAAATTAGCCAAGAAACCACGAGGAATGTTTTGATCACTTTCTTAAACTTTCGCAGGTAATTATTTGTTTTCTTGATGAAAAATATTCTTCAGCGGACTGATGTGTCTATGTGACATTTCATACAGGCCCTCACACTCGCAGCAGACGAAAAACTTTCTCTGGGTGGAGAGGTTAAACAGTGGATATGCAACACTCGCAGCAGACAACAGGAGAAAACTTACAGGTTTTATCACACAGTCAAAGTCACATTCATTGTCAAATGGGACCCTTTGCATCAAAGCGACTGGAAAGTAAAAACACATGGTGATGGTGAACGTGGCTCGGACGGCGTTGAAGGCTCTCCTCTTGGCCGGATGCAGCTTGTCGCTCTCTGGGCCGGGCTTCTTCAGCATGTTCACGGTTTTGATGCTGGAGTGCACCACCATGGACGTCATGAACATTATCAGAAAAAACGGTAAATTCGCGAAGAATTTCCCGGCAACAGTGGGGAAGGACTCGAACGTGTGCATGATGGCGAACGACAAAGAGAAGAGCCACACCATCGCCACACAAACCTCCCTGTATCTGCGCTTCTTCAGCAGAGGGTAGGACGTCGGGTGAATCACCGCAACGTACCTCTGGATGCAGATGAAACCCAAGTTCATGGGCCCGCCGGTCTGTGCATACGCAAGCAGAAAATCTAAGACTCTGGACTGTCCGTCCGGCAGAAGAAAGAGGATGCAGAGATGAACGAGGGATACCAAGTGCTGGGAGTTGTGGAAAAGGGCTAAGTTACAATTCAGGATATCTGGAGTCTTTCTGGAGGTGAGAGAGGTCCAGAGCAGCGTGACGACCACAGGTTGACCAGTGAGGAAAGTGACGATGTCGACCAGTGAGAGATAAAACACAAAACCCTGTCCACACACGCACTGTGGGCCGCTGGAGTTGAGCGTGACGTTCTCGAGTGAATCCTTCATCTTATCAGAGCTGAAAGAAGAGAGGTACTGATGATCTTATGAGTTCATCTTTCAAAAGTCTCGTCCAAGGTAGCTGCGGATTTTATACAAGTACAGAAACTCATCAACGTTTCTCATTCCTGAAGCTGTTTGTCGTTATATTTCTGCCATTTTCTGAATCATCAAGACATTATTTTCTATTGAATTTCATTCAATCTGGTCTGATGAGCATTAAAAATTATAAATCTTTCCTTCAGGAACTATTTTTATACAAGTATGTTGAGATGAGACCGAATAAATGGATCACTGCACTGAAATGATGATAAAGTATTGAAATAATAAAAGGAATTTGAAAGCAAACAGAACAAACAATGAACTAATTTAATAACCTATGAATTAGTTAAATGTGATAATCATATTCTTTAGATCTGAAGTCTCACCTGCTGTGTTCGGCGGCTGCTCGGACGATAGAGTTGTGAGCAGAATGATTTACGCTCTGGTGACACCTGATTTTCATAATGGATGTGAAACAGGTGCGAGGCCGTCGAGCAAAACCAACAAACTGAGACTCAGACACGTCCTGATTTTCTTAAACGCCGAGTTTCCACATCAGAGCGGGCTGTGACACAATCAAGTGTAAAAGAAATGTACCAGCGCTGAGAATGATGTTGAAGATTAAAGATTAGAGAGTTAAATAATGTGTGTTATGATTATTTAAGAGACCACAGGGGGTCAGTGTGCACCACAACATCTTAGATCCTCCCACAGTCGTAGAGGAAGCTTGAACAGTATCTTGTGACAGAAGACGTCAGGATATAGATTCTTGATATAGGATGAACTTTATAGTCGTGTATGTTGTTGTGGGATTGATTTCTGCAGCAGCACGAGCTCAAAAACAAAATACTGTTTTTCTCCTGTTTCCTCTGATGGTTTATGTTTATATATATATATCCAAAGACAAAATCCAAATTATTTAATTGCTGCCTTCAGATTTTGGTTTAATACCAAGTTTATCTAAATAACTTTTATGTTAAATTAAAATTGTATTATTTCACGTTGAGGCCTTAAACCTTCTGGGTTTCAAGCCTTTCTCTGCACATCACACACATTGATCTCATTCAGTTTCTGGTTTGTTTTTAACGATGCTCTAGTTTAAAACATTTATTGGGCAAATATCTCGAATTAGAAGTCAACTGATTTTAACACAGAAGCTATAAAATGACATGTAATCTTACGGGGCAACTGCGACAGTCCACAAAATGTCCTCTAATGGGTTTTTTTTCCCCCAATTAAATAATAACGTGAATTGTTACCAGACTCTTAGCAAAGACCCACAATGGCAATTTGAGCCTTTTATCGGTGAAAGAAAAATCTTTTAGAGGAAATTTCTTGGAAAGTCGCAGTTGCCCCATTAGATTAACATTGTAGCCACAGCTGCTGTCACGGCTGAGATCATCTCCTGGATCAATTTCAAATATTTCTGTAAGTACCCTCGATTTACACGCCCACATTTATAAACGTAGACTGAAAATCGGCAGAACTCGCTCCCAGTCACTCACATTTTTTGATGCGAGGAGAACACAGACATCACACAGTCCGAAGAGATGAAGGCGTATTTATTGACAAATACACACAATAGATCACAAAGCTGAACTGAGCGTTACAGACTCACAATAAAAAAAAAATCCTCCTTGGTAAACATGTCAGTATGGCTTCTTCTTTCATGCCCCTCAATAAAACGGATTAAGACTCATAAATACACAGAAAAGTGGGAACGAGTGTGTGTGTGTGTGTGTGTGTGTGTGTGTGTGTGTGTGTGTGTGTGTGTGTGTGTGTCAGCCAGAACGGTTTTATAAGAGCGCGTAAACGACAGTACAAAGGTAACCACGTAAAAGAAGCTGTATGATAAACACGGATAAACAAGAGCACATGCTGAGAGAATAAATATGAAAGTACAAAAACAGAGGAATTCATATATTGCTGTTTCACCGTTAAAAAGGATTCTTTGGACGACGCTGATTGTTTACATTCTTTGAGCGATGCTACCTGCACGTTGCGTAGCTTCCAGGGAGGAATACGAATCCAGCTTCGTCACAACTGAGATGATTTCGTCTGCGATGAAAGTCGTTTTTACCGTTTGTCGTCCGTTTTTTTTTTTTATCTCAAAAAACGAATCATTACCATCAATAGTGCATCAAGTTAAAGCAACTTGGTTTGAGAAACATTCACTGAAATGTTTTGACTTCATGTGAAAAAATAATTATGATTAACACCACAGGTTTAGTGGTTAAGTGCTGATTGTTGCCTGCGAATACAGAAAATACTGACTTTCATTAATCGTTCTTACAGACATGACGATGATTTAAAGCAACTTTGAAAAAAAAAACAACTTTATTTGGTCTGTTATGACCTTTAGCTTATGGTGGCTAATGTCAGCTAATGTCGAATATGACTGTAGAATGGACATTGTTTCCTGATCATTAGTTATCTGTGTGTGCTTGTGTTAAATCTCTTAGCATTTACCATTAACCCATAATTGTCACATGTGGCCAAAGTAGCCACTGCTCAGCAAAAGTTGCATCATCTCACTTATATATATAAAAAAAAAAATCTCAAATTTTAGATTGTGAGCTTTTAAACTCAGGCCACATGTTTTTATTTTCCAGTCGAAGGCACTTCTCTCTCTCTGTGAAGCCAGATATGTGAACTGAAGCACTGCAGACACTGTATGTACAAATGACACAACACGAGAATCATTTACAAACTGCGACAAAAAAAAAAAGAGAAGAAACGTATAAAACAATTCTTGGTCCTCTAAAAGCGTACTTTGTCAGGGGGGGTGGGGGGGGGGTGGTGTCGGCAGGTGTGGCTGCTACATACTCAAAACTCAGTCATGGTATTTACTCCTTGGATAATTTTCTGCATAAAGGCGTAATATATGAAAAACAAGGCACGCGTTGGACCCTGGTCATCTGGACAAAACATTTACATTTGTTCCTCTTGCATTTCCCTCAGCTGTTTCCTGCACGCTGTGGTCCGAGCATTGTTTTTACTGTCAGTTCTGTGAGGGGGGGGACAGGAAACTATGCGTGGCTGTGGACGGTGATGCTCGACAGGTCGTTCCTGATGATCTCATTGACTGTGAAGGAAGAGAGAGAGAGAAGCACGGTTAATAATTCACAGATCTCGATTATTTCGTTTTTTACATTTTTCAAATTAAGTAACATCTACGATCAGTGCTCAACCGAGTGACATTATAGTTTCTCTACAGGATTATACAAAAAACACTGAATGGATTTCCATGAGACTCGGTGGAAGAATGAGACACTGGCCAAGAAATAATCCATAAAAATGTAGGCGCTGATCGAGAGAAAGGGGCGGATCCAGGAAATGTTTTCTTTTTCTTTACCATTGCGAGATTTTATGCATCATATTGTTATTTTCAACATTTTTTCCAGAGAATAATTCCTGCATCTTGATGGGAAAAAAAAAATCAGACAAATAAATAGAAATCTGGATATAGCTGATTACAGCAAGGGCACAGTCGGTGGAGGTATTTAACTATTTCTCTATCTAATATTCTTTAAACATTTACTGATGTGACTCTAAGGTTCCATTTCCACCGGTGTGAATACAATTCTCTGAGCTGTATGGTTACAGCTGTCTGTTATTCCCTCTGAGTCAACAGAATCAAATCACTTCATATCGGAGATCCCCAGACGTTTGTTATCACGAGAGATGATGCAACCTCCTGTCGTCTCTGCAGGATCCAGGTGCACTTGTTTATCTGGTTCAATCTGCTGTGCGCTGATAAAGGTGCGACGATCCAAGAGCAACTCTGCAGGCTCACCGGAAAATATAGATTTACTGATAACACCGGAGAGACGACCGTCTCTATTTGTCTCACTGCAGAGGACACGTTGGCATTCAGCGTTTTCATCTGTGAACTCGTTCTTCACTGTGGAGGCACAGTCTCCGCAGTTTGTCCTCCTTTAATCTGCTTCTCACTTTTCTAATCAGCGTCTTGGTTCAGGTTCAAGATGAGAAATGTGAGGGGGGGAAGCCTGAGAATCCAAGCCAGCAGGCGAGGAATTCCCTCCGAGTGACTGGAGGCTGGAAAAGCAATCTGGAAACCTGAGATCCCCCTGAACACACACACACACACACACACACAAACACACACACACACACACACACACACACACACAATGGAAGGAATTTTTTCCTTTTATATAAAATGTATTTTCATCACAGGCAGCGGAGAAGCCCTTCCCCTGGTAACCGAGCACTGGCACAGCCACTTCCTACCAGAAATACCTCTCACTTCCTATCACGAGGGGGTGTAGACGCCTCGCAACAATCACACAAACAGACACACACACACACACACACACACACAAAAGCCCTGCGTGGGAGGCTACCATGGCAAAAAACAAAACATAAACGTGTGTCATCATTACTTTGAAATCTAAGCTTGAAAAAGTGTTAATCACCTGAATTCTGCTCTGAGCTTTTTTTTTCATAAGTTATACAGATCGTTCGTTCACACATGACACAAGCTGCTGCGGATTGAAGACGTCAAAAAATGCCAAATTCTAGATTCCTGGATCTGCCCCCTGAACCAGAACTGCACCAAAATGTAAAGTTTCAGTAGTTGTTGCTTGATATTGCTTGCAAACAGCAAACAGCGGGGAAACCTTGGAGAGGAAGTAAGAAGCCTGACAAGATAAAGATTTATCTGATGTAGACTCAGAGAAGTAGAGACGTTTATTTGTTCTATTATCATCAGCATCTAGACTTTAGAGCAGATGTCGCAGATTTGATGGAGAAATCGTCTTTTTGGTTTTGCTAAAACGTAACCATGGAAACCAAGAAGTAAACAAATATCCTGGATCTGCACCAAAGTTCAAGAGTTGTTAATCTCATCCTCCCACCGATAAAATAGTTTTTTTATTATGATAGTAATAATATTTTTATTTAATTATAATTCATCAAGTGGTTAGTCATCAACAAACCAACGAACAGGAGAGAAAACCTCATTAGCGGAGGTGATAAAAAAACATGGAGCTCTCCTGAGAGCTTTGATAACAACGTTGCAGCATCGATCTCACACGAGTGTCACAGAAACACACAGACACACTGAACCTTGAAGACAGGGTGCGATTCACATTTCTTTGTGGAGAACTTGGCAGCGCCGACTCTGCAGTGGCGTTTATATTCTGACGCTCTAAATCACTTTCTCTTGATTTAGCAGACGGCGATAGATTCACCATCATCTGCTTTGTTGTGGTAACGGTGAGACAAGATGGTTTCTAACGTACGACATCAGGACAGCAGCCGTGTGAATGTGAGAATATGACTAATATGACCAGAAGACACATTGAAGCTGAAGAAATAAACAGACCTCAGCTCCAGTTCAGGCCGAACTGACTGACCTCTGCTCCTCTGTCTGATCTGGCTGTGACCTCCGGAGCATCTGGAGGTGGAGGGATACATTTTTTTTAACTTCAAACCTCAAAGGGACGTTATTACACAAACTTTTAAACACTCACTTGGAGCCGGGAGGCCGAGACGTCGTCAGACCTGTCTGGCAACTATCAGAATCACAGATGAATTACGGCATGAAGATATTTTTACACCACAGCGTCTGCCATATGTGGCGAAACTGCTTCAACACAACTTAAAAAAAAAAAAAACAGTAAAAAGATATTTATTCTGATATGAAACAACAGAAAACCAGACGGTGAAGCTTTCGTCCAACTGAGGCCACAGCGTTTACTGTTTATGTGTCCGTTGCCATGACCCACTTTTCACCGTGCTGTCACATTTGATGCGGAGGATCTAATTGAAAAGAAGTCAATCTATTGATCTGTAAGTGTGTGTACAACAAAGTCCTAAAAATAAGCCCGTGCAGCACCAGTGTGACATCTGTGTCATGTGGCTCTTTGCCCGCATTGATTTGCTCAAGAGAAACGTTTGAGCAAACCGAGAGGGGTCTTTTATTTGTTTTGTGCAAATGAATTTTAGTTTTACTTTGATAAAAAAAAAATTATTTTATATGAAGCTCTGAAGAGGGGAATGTCGGCTGATATGAGGCGTCCTGTGAGTGCTCAGAAAATATTTTTGAAATCTAGAATTTTTTGCCAAAAATGTTGTCGACTGCCATCGTGTGTTTTTTTTTAATGAAACCAGATGTTACCATATTTGGAAAAGCAGGGGGTGGAGCCTGACTGAGAGTTCAAGGGCACGCCACGCCCACCACTTTACTATGTGTCAATCACACGGCATCCTCATGGATATGGTGCTTTATCATCTATTTGAAAATTAAAATCTTTCTGTGTTGAAGAAGACTTAGAACTAGAGATCTCAACCATTTACTGACGTTATTAATCAAACTACTTTTTGCATCCGTGAAGTCGCCCTCCTCTGGTGATTCGAGAGAATACAGGTCTCTTACAAACTCCTTGTTTAACACTTTTGGTTTTCCTGAGAGCTTTGCTGCTACTTCACCATGAGGCCCTGCGTAGTCAGTGAGGAGCTTTGTTATTTTGTGTGTCTAACATGAGCAGGAAGGTGGCGTTTGATATGAAGTAATCCAGGAACTGGTTTCCTGTTTCACGGAGGTCGACAGCAGCTGGAGTGGACTGATACAGACCAGCGCTCCGACCAGGAAACCCCTGACAAACGAGGAACTCCAAAAAAAATTAGCAGGACGGCACCGTTTGACTCATTACGGGGCCGAAACGCGTCAACACGATCCGGGTTGTGATAACACGACAGTACAGAGGGAACTGATCAGACGAAGAGGTATTCAACAGCCTCCGTGAACAAATCAGCTGAGAGACCAGAGCTGAGACAATGAGAGAAAAAGTGCCACAACCCCCCCCCCCCCCCCCCCCCCACCCTCCATTTACTGCCACGTCAAGTCCAGGCCACAAGCCACAAGATGTTCTTGGCCCACGTTATGAGGCTTCTACTGCGTAACAGGGTCGGTCCCACAGAGCCGTTCTGTAGTTCACCACAGCCTCCGCCAACCTTTTTATTTCTTTAAGTTTTTCACTCAGGTATCATTTAAGACGAGAGAAGCCTTTGACAAAGAGCGACGTGAACAGAGACAATATTATCACAATATCAGGTTCGTTTACACAACCAGCGACCGGAAAAATGGAAACTTCTGCCGTGACTCAACTCAGAACAACAACTCTGTATAAAGTCGAGACGTGAGGACATAGAAACGGTCGGCGTACCTGTCCGTCACTGTGCACGAGTCTTCAGCCTCAGAGACAAACGCCGCTGAAGCAGAGACGACAGAAGTTAACGAGCGAGTCATTGAAAAGTCGTCTTGTGGCAGTTTGGGCACGTTCGTGTGTTTTTGGGGCGGAGCTTTGACGAGAGAGAGTCAGCGGGAGGAGGTGGGATGTAGTTGCATATTCTAAAGTTTATCAACCGTAGCTTTAATCAATTTGTTGTTTTAATGTTGTGGCTGATCTGTGTGCAGGTGTTCATGGTCCTCAGAGGTTGAACCCCGCAGACGTTTCACCATCGTGACGTCAAATTCAATAATGTTGCATGAGAAAATGCAGGGCTGCTGTATTACATCGTGCCGCTGTGTGTTTTTTTTCTGGCCACTCGATGTGTTTAGTGATGAATCAATATCTGTGAGTGGCAACCAACACATAACAGATGTGGACATTGATTAATATGTGGTAGATCTGTGCACATCTAGAAAATGAAAAGGGGATAATTCATTCAAACCCTAACAGCATGTGAAAATACTATATATGTATGTACTGTACTGTGGTTTACTCTTTATATATTGTATATAACGTGGTTTATTTTGAACACACACACAACTAATGATGAATAATCTCCTTTTTCAAAAATGTGGCTGCAAACAATTTGAGGAATCAAGTGATTTTCTCTGTTTGAAACCCGATCCAGTCTCAGTCTCCGACTCTCAGTTTACTCTCAAATACTTTGCCTGCGATCATCCAGAGACTCCGCTCATCAATTATACTGCTCTGACATCTAACAAGGCCACAGCACGCCATAAAAAGCATGTCGTAATCCTATTTGGCTCCGATCTGGCTTGAAAATGCACATGTTTCGCTCATGTTACCTCACCGCTGACAAAAGACTTCGGCACACTACTGTGCAGGATAACGTATGGCTTTGGCCACCTCTCCCAGACTCGCCGCGAGCCAAAGGGAAGCATTGCAACCCTCTCCAGTCAGCAAGTTTTATGGCGGCGTGGCCGGCCTCCATCTCCTCTCGGGCTCGGGCTCGGCCTCGGCCTCGGCGGAGGAGTTTAGACCGTGCACCCCCCCCCAGCCTATAGCTCCGGCTCCGGGCCAGAGAATATGATTCACACTTTCCATGAGCAGACATGTTTGTAACCTCTCCGGGGACGGTGTGAAAAAATGTTTAGCAGAGGGGAGTCGGGATGAGAGCGAGAGGGCTGCACAAACAGAGACAAGGTAGCAGGGCCAAGGGGCGACTCCGAAGTTTGGGTGGTAGATCAAAATCACCCGACTGTCAAGTTTACTGCTGGTACTTTATTTGTGTCCTGAAATTGAATCTACATGCACTATTTCTGTACGTCTGACAAGTACACACGATTATTAACTGAGTAAAAGTCCAAAACTCGGTGACTTTCAGGGTCTGAACTCGTGAAAAGTGTCCGGTGACGTTGTCTGACGTTTAACAAGCGTCCATGACAAGAAATCACAGTAACGCCACACCTGAGCGAGGCCGTAAAGTCCTATCAAACCCTGCCAAAGGTTTTAATGAAGTGAGAAGCCGCATTACGTCGGGAATGTTAAAGTGAGAAAAATGTCCTTCAGTTTTCCAATAAAAACAAGAGTAGTTATGGGTCCACTACCTCAGAAATATCCATTATATGGTTGTGGTGATTCAATTTAATACCTTGAATTCTTTTTTTTTTTTTTTTAGTCTTAACTGCACCTCGCGAGCGGCGGTGGCACCAGTTACAGCACCATCACAGATTAGTCCTCGGGCTGAATCCAGCCAAACATCCCTGCAGACAGAGCTAACAAGTGTTAATGTATTTACCCAGACTGCTCAGAGGAAGTGGCATGGGAACAGTCTGAGCCTCGCAGTCTGCGGCCCAACAACCCCGTCTCGTTCGCCATCGTCAGGAAGCTCGGCCAGACGATTCAGCAGGGGCTCTGGTGACGGATCAAAGCCGCGCTGCTCCGTCCGCTGATAGCTGCTGGTTAGTGTTTCTTCATTTACTGCACTCTTGTCCCAACGGGGACTTTACGCACGGCTGGGCTGTGTTTTTTCTTGCCCAGAGGAAGATCATTTATCCAATTTATTTCAAAATCACCGCAGCGCAGAGCACGTGGCCCCCGAACCTCTGTGGCGAGCGCGGAGGGCCACAGCGGTGAGATCATAAACTTTGCTCCTAAAATCCTGCTCGCTCTGAGATAAATAAAGAGCATGAAAAAAAAAAAAAAAGCATTTATTTTATCAGGGAGATTCGGGCCCGGTCTCATTCAGGGTTTAAAGCCAAGTATATCAAACACAGGACCACCCGGCGTCTTTGATCTGATTACAAGTTAGACGCAAAGGAAGGACGCACCACAAGCGTGAGGGGATATTAAAAATGCAGGACTTTTGATGGATTCTATCCCAGTAAAGTAAAAGCAATGAAGAAAATCTGGGCACATCGCTCCCACAACAATGTTCTTCTTCTCCTGCAGCACATTTCAACAAACCTGGTGCAAACCTTCACCGAGGCTCAACACTCACTGGATTCTGATTCTCATTTGGATCTTCGCCAAATTACTAAAACATCAGGATAAGTTAACTATGTGAAAAGGTTTTCGTGTGATCCTGCCAGCTAACAGATGACAACATAACCTCCTTGGCCTCGGAGGTAACAAAGACAAGAGAGTATATTTACCGAGCGGACAATGGAGGGTGGGTGAATATTCTCTCGACAAGAAAGAAAAAAGCATTTCCTTTAAATCATAACGGTTGAGGAGATTTGTGCCAAAACAAAAGCTGCAAACTGAGTTTTGAAGGTCAAATGTTTCAGCTCTTGGCAAAGTCATACAATATTTTTACATGAAAAATACTATAAGCACCTGCAGATGTATTATGGGTAAGATAAACCCTCGTTGTTAAGTTAATTAAGGTTCTGGACGGTTTAGTTCGCTTTATATTTTTTCCATGAACAATAATCATTTTTAAAAATGTCTTCGCTCACCATCATCGAGGTACATCTGGTCCAGCTCCTGGGGTTCTTGTTTGATGCTGACGGCCAGCGGCGGGGAGCTGCCGTCCTCCTGCAGCGAGGCTCGCCCTCTCTCTGGCACCTTAGGGTGCTGCTGGGCGTCCGGGCTGGTGCTGCCGCTGACGGGCTGGGCTGGTGTCATGCAGTGGGTCGGAGAGAAGGGAGCGTCGGTCGGAGTGGAGGGCTGCGAGGTCGGGGAGGAGGAGGAGCTGCTGGGCGGATAGAGGTTGGGCAGCTGGTAGCGCCCGGGAGTCTCCTGGATGATGGAGACGTGGGGGATCGGGGACTGGGGCCCCTGGGGGCCGGCAGGGAGGCACTTGGAGAAGTGTGACGGCGACAGGTCGTGCAGTTTGGGGCTGGTGCTCGGGGAAGAGGAGGAAGGCAGCGAGGCAGGTTTGGCCGCCAGTCTCTCCTGGCTGACAGGGTAAGGACCGCCAACGACACACGACCGGAGGTCAGAGGTCATCATGGGGGTCATGACCTGTGGGGGGAAGTATGGCTTCGGGTGGAGGGACACAGTGGAGCCGTGCTGGGTGCACACCAGAGGGGCGTCATAGTCGTCATGCGGCTCCGTCTTTATTGTCGGAACTGAGGGGAGAGGAGGGGAAACGAGAAGGAAAAGCTAAATGAGTAAACACATATTCCAACCGTCCTGCGAATGTGAGTGAGCGAGTGGGTTTGTGGCTAAGAGACCCGCTGCCAAACAAACACTTTCATCAATGAGCCTCTGTGTCTGGGCCCGAGCTCTCCCACCCTCCTGCAAATATTCACAAAACTCCAAAAAAGAGGAAAAAGGGATGAGTCATCAACAGCAGAAACATCCAGCAGCTCCTATAATAAAAGGTTTGTTTTCTTTGGATCTGGCTCCGGTGCTAATATCCACCGAATGTGTGATATGAAATATGTTTGTCAGCCTCGTACACAGCAGGGCTCAGTAATTTAAAATAAATTACTGCTTACCCATCGAGACAAAGGGAGAAAAAAAATAGACATGAAAGATTTAGCTGAAGGACACAAAATGGTGGCTCCGGGCTGTACGTGGATTGTGGTTATTGAACGAGCACGGACCAACGCTGAGTTCAAATGAGGCGGTCGCTGTGAGCTTGGCCACACCAACGGATTCCAGCCCAAAACATGTTGGACGCTGTATTTTTAAAATGTGGACCATCAATCTGCCGCAGCTCAGGACACGACATCAGACTCACATAAAAAAAAAACATTTCACTCCAGTTACAAAACGACATCACGTCTCTGACCCCGAGCTTCTCTCAACGACTTTCACTGCATCACTCCGCTGGATCTATTTCTGCTTTTCACGGCTGAAGCTGTTTTAGATCCTGATACAAAACATGTGTTTGAAGCAATAAATTACTTCAGTTTTCCTTCTGCGAGTTTTATTCTTGTGTTTTATTGACGCACATTCTCAGTTGTTTATCTGGATCTATTTTGGCTCTTAAAAAAAAGAAGATATTTTTTCGATCTCACAGGCCGTGCCAAACTAAAGACTAATGAGACTAGAGAGAGTGAAACTGGGGCACGTCGTGTCTGACTGAGGACTGAACTGTAGAAAGAGGAACTGCGATGAGATGGTTGCACCGACCGCAGGACTGAAATAGCACACGCACCCCTATTTTGGGTCTGTTTGGAGGAAGCTGCCTGTGGAAGCTGATGCAGAGCAGCAGCAGCAGCAGCAGCAGCAGAAGAAGAAGTGCAAATGTTTGTCTTCCACAAAAGCGAGGCAGCGTCTGTGGTTCTTGAGCGTGAAAATCAGCCATGTGTACTGTACGTCCCAGAATAAATGTGTTGTTTTTGTACAAACTGCGGTCACACCTGCTGCTGCTGCTGCAAAAAAAACATGATTCATTGAGTGATTTAAAAAAAATTGAGAAACTGAAATTAATCTAAATCCTATTATTGAAAATTGAGCTTTTAAACTTTTCTTGACATTCTCGCCGAGGCCTGGCTCGTTGCCCCCACAGCGCTCACCCTTTGGGAGACGCTGACCAGACTGGCCGTCCCCGAGTCCGTCCCCTCCCTCGCACTCCCTGCGTCTCGAGGACAATGCAGCACTTTCACAGTGGGGCACTCCGTCGCCCACGCACAGGGATGGGCCAGTTCACTTGAATCACAGCTTTGAACCACCCACTGGATTTTCACTCCAAGCCCAGAGCGCAATTAGCAATGGTTTTTACATTTCAGTTTGTGGGTCACTGTTTATATTTAGCTTGGCAACAGGTTCCCTATTCAAATAACACGCTTTTCCCATGCCCCCTTTCCCCAACCCTGGTGTGTCCAGTCACTGCTACAGGTACGGAAAATAACACATTTTATAGTTTTTTCTTTTCTTTTTTTTTTTACAATGGAGGAATAATAGCATTGCTTTGTTCCTCCCAAGAGAAACCACCAGACGAACAGATTCTGACTAAAGTGTTTTTAATTAGTCTGGGATGTGAAGGCAAAGAGCAGCCGGAGGGTGAAGATAGGAAAGAAGAAGAAGAAAGTCTGAGTCTTAAAATTGACACATCGGTCACGAATGTAATTTTCTTTTTTCCACCAAAAAAGATTTTAGGCTTCATCAAATGTCAAGACTGGAAAAAACTTTGTTTGTCGGTGAAGGATCCAACACCTTGACCCAGCTTATCTTACATATATATATCTTATATTTTATTCATTTGTGCTGTTTTTCAGAAGAAGTAATTATCATTTTAACTTCTTTGTACAATGACAATAAAAACTTTCTATTCTAACAGCTTTCGTCTTCGAAGCCATAAAACTCAGACAAGACAATTCTTTCCTCGTCATAACTTCCTCTCTCTTAAAGAAACGTTGACCTCCCCTCCAACAGCTCTGCTTCCCATTAAAGTGCTGATGAATCCATCCTTTCTTTTTGTCTTTCATTAACATTCTGACAGACGTCTCTCAGGCTGCTGCCACGGAGCATCTTCAGGGTCAAAGCTCACATCTAACTCCTCTGACGTCTCATTCACTATCTGCAGGACACGGGGGAGAATGAAGAGGGGAGTTTTTACCGCTGGCAGGAACGTAGGTGAAACGCTGATACTGGCTTCTTTTCCTTTTGCCGTTGCAGACGTAGAAGTTGACGTGCACGGGAGTGGAGAGTCTTTGGTTCCGATACGGAGGAATCTCAACCAGCAGCGAATTCTGCAAAACAACGGATCCAACAACTTCAGTGTAGAAATGCACAGTGTTGCTTCTGACTGCATCCTTCCACCTACTTGAAACATATTTAACATTTAATCAGTGTGTGAGCTAGTTCTTAATTTGTTTTGTCAATTTCTATTAAGATATTTTCATAAATAAAGACATAATTCAAGATCAGGATCGGTACTTCTTCAAATCCAGAACTCCTGAAGTTGCGTGTGTGTTTGTTTTTGTGTGTGTGTGTGTGTGTGTGTGTGTAGGGGCCGATGGATAAAATCTGGTTGTAATCGTGAACGAGCCACAAAGGGACCATGAATGACGCCTATAGAGGAGCCTGGTTATTTGAACAGTGAATAACTCGGCTGATGTGAATAAATTAAAAGCCAGGAGTTGTCCGGATAGTTTATTTCCCCAGCAGAGCTTCCTGCTGTCTGCAGAGACCACGAAGGCCGGGAGCGACCACGAAGGCCTCAGCCTGTGAACACATCAGCCTCCACATGTGTGCGAACGTACGGTCTATACGTCTGAGCGCGTTGGAGGCGCTGCTCGGTAGCCGGGGAGGAAGTCGTACGTCTACACTGGCCCCCGACGTGTACAGGTGAAAGCTGACACAGGTTTTATTAAATCACAGCAGCTGTAAAGTCAAGTGAAGCCAGATGAGGCTTCTCCATCCGTCCATCCTTCAGAGACTTAGCCGATAAAAACTCTGGAAACACTTCACCGTTTGTGTGGAACTGGGAATATTTGCAGCGCTGCACTCGTGTGGCGGCTTTCCAACACGTCAATTTATACCTTTTCTTGAAAAACAAGCTTAATTTTGAAATCAAAACCGAGCGAAATCATTCAAATGCGCTTAAAAGTTCTCGTCGTAACTCACAGAATGTTGTGTGAAAGTGTTCGAGCTGTTTTTAACCTGAGAAAAGCAAACGTGACAAAGTGAACTTGAGGGAACATCCCTGGACGTGCGCTTCAAGGCCTTTTTATCTACGTCTACGTGACGACTCTGACTGTAAATCATCCCTGCAATGGAAACTGAATCATCCCTCCGGTCTCAGATCTGCGTCTCTCTCTCTCTGGGAGCTGACGGAGGCGGCGAGGTATTCTGAATCCTGTGGTCACGCTCTGCGTCCTGGTGCAGCGGCAGAGGTTAAACCTGGCCAAGGCAGCGTCAGTGTTTAAAATGGGACCAATCCAGCAGACTGGGGGAGAGAGGGCGAGAGGCCCTTTGTCTATTCAGGCCGACAGATGTGTCCAAGCAGTCCCTGTGTGTGTGTCTGTGTGTGTGTGGGGGAGAGAGGGAGTGAGAGTGTGTGTTTTGCAATGAGGAGACACAGGGAGCAGGTGCAGTGCCTCAAATATAGACACCCTCTAATCCCCTCGTCTATCTACCTCCCACCATCTCTCCCTCTCTGTCTGTCTCTGTCTCTCTCCCCCTCTCTGTTTGTCTGTCTCTCTCTCTCTGGCCAGGACAGCTGGACGCACCGTCGAACTCCCACATGTGGAAGGTTGAACTTTTAAAAAAACCTTTTCGCACATCTCAAACACGACACGGCTGTTTCCCCCCTCGCTCCCCCGAGGACCTCGCTTCACCTCTGAGCTGAGAACACGCACCTTCATATCGCAGGTACACGTCTGTGGAGCGTGTCTCCACCAGTTTAATTCTCAGTGAGACAACATAAGAATTTATTTAAAACCATTGAATTAAAGTTAGAATTCGTCTCTGTTACAAATCAGGGGATAAAATGCAGAATAAAAATGATTAAAACAACTATCTGACTGACTGTATTAAACTAAATATACAGAATAGAAAGTAGAAATGTAAATGTGGCACCTTTACTTAAGTACATTTTTGTTTATTTGTACTTATACTTAAAGGTCCAGTGTGTAAGATTTAGGTGAAATGGGAACTATTGGCAGAATGTAGAATAATCCTCATGATGATTGTAGTTTTCTTTAACCCAGAAAAGGCCCCTTTATATTTAAATACTTAAAAATTCTACACACTGTTACTTTAATTCAACTGTTTAAATACTTCCTCTACCACTGGGTACCTCTTTGTGCGATCCCTGTGTTTATGTGTGACTAAACTTGAAAATGAAAATGTTTAAAAGGTTAACAACAGGTTTGTTATCTTTAAAATAAATAAGATAAAGATTCGTCATCATGATAGAGTCACTTACAGGTTTTGAGGCGTCTTTCTCAATCTTGGCCTCAGTCTCCCAGAGGTGATGACCGTCTAAAAGAAAAAGGAGAAAAGAAAAAGTTTTTTTTTTTTGCGATGACAAATCATGAAATAATCCTCCTACTTGGATCCGAGCAGAAATGAAGAAATGGAACGAGTGTTGTTGCTATTATCTGTTACATCAGTGACATATAAAACTGCTGCGGAGAGCCGAGGGCTGTCGTGGACGTCATACTGTCTGACCTCATGAGCTCATATCCTCAGTCTGACAAACAAGAGAAGAGGACGACAAACCCACAAAGAGAGAAATCTGATGCAACCTTAAAAAAAAAAAAAAAATACCAGAGAGATGAGCGACATCGAGAGAAACCTTGACTTCATCGCTGTGTGGAATCCCAGCATGCTCGAGCAGCTGGAGGACTCATTAATACGACTGGAAACTGACAACTCTCCTCTTTCTGCTCGTGTTCTCATAGGAATCTCTCTGTTACGCTCATATAATGATTGGTAAACGGTATTTTTCTCCCTTTTCTGGTTGATTCTCCTTAAACATCCTACAAAAAGCAGTTTTCCCATCAGGCAATCAAAACACACGCACTTGCTAAAATAGTTTAATTTGTGTGCTCTGCCCGATGAGAAGTGAGTGAAACTATATTTTTTACCAAATGTATTTGACACAGAGGGAAACGGCTGCACTTTCTTTAGACCCCTGACTCATGAACAAGCCCCGAAAAAGATGTTCGATGAGCGTGAAAGTGACTTTGCATGAAGCCGGAGCTGCGGTTTTTAGAGGAGAAAGGTCAGTTGCGGTTAAATGGTCTTGAAGGAGATGAACTGAGATACGTGCTGCGCTGCTCCACAGGCAGTTTGATAAGCGCGGGGTTTGAATGGGGCTGGCAGCTCCCCGTGCAGATGGACGGAGGAGAAGTGAGGTGGCAGAGATGGAGGAGGTGCAGCCAGGCACTGACAGCTTCTATTATGTCTGAGGAGACACTGGGAACCTGTTAACGTCTCTCTGCTCTGTTTTGATTTCTCTTTACTTCCCCTCCCCGTCAGGGTTTCAGCTGCAGCTCCGCAGGAAACGGTAAAATCACGCATATCACCCAAAAGACAGCGACACCTCGGTGAAGGAACAAAATGAATCTGTGCACGCAGGCTGCAGAGAGAAGACAAGTGATGGGAGACGTCTGACTGACAACGTGTGACTGAGAGCTCCAAGAGTTGTGAAGCTGTAGTTCAAACTTTGGCTCTGAAGTTTAACAAAATGTGTGTCGAATGTGTTTAAACGACACCTTGACACCTCTTTCCAATATTTGCATTATAACAAAGGGAACAGGTGTCTCATGATTTAAAATGTTAATCATATAATCGTCTGTAAACTAAATAAGTTGAAAATATTCAAAAATCTAGAGCAGTAAGTTTCCTTGAAATTCTGAGTTTTCCAAACGTTTTCAGTTTCACAGACTTTCTCAATTACACTTAGCTCGGTCACTTCTCTCCTGCACCTGCTGAGAGTTATTTTGTGGAATTGGGATGTGGCTCTGGTTTTAATATCATAATTTCTTGGCAACATCTTCGTGAGCCTGATGTGGTGGACGTCATATTTCAGGGAACTGGGCCTCAGACTGTTGTTAAAACACAGGCTGTTATTTATAAAATTATGTCTGTGAGAGTTTTTAGAGCAGAATATGTTGAACCTGTGGCAGAGTGATGCCCAGTTTAATACCAGCGATGATATAACATGGAGGGAGGCAGTGGACGTGGAGGCAGAGGGAGACAGACAGGGTGTAAAGAGATGGAGACACTTCGGCAGCACGTTTGGGGAGATGTCACGTCGTCTTCACACACAGTCTAAGGTGAATCTCCGGGAATGAATCAGCGAAATAAATCACTCGTTCGGGGAGAAAATATCTCTGCAGCTTTTCCCATGACTGTCTGGGAACAGCTTGTGTCAGGAAGTGATTCAGTTCAGTTCATTCACCCGAAAGATTTCTTCTTTAAAAACGAAAATGTCTGCAAACGCCACTGAGCTCCACACGAGAGAAGACTTCGTCCTTCAGTGGCGTTCCGATTGAAATCTGTTCACATGTCTATAAAACTTCTGGTCTCCAGCGCTCTCGGCCTCTCGCTGCCGCTCTTCTCTTTGGGAGCCGGTCCAGAAGGGAAGCCTTTCGCAGTCGACGTCAAACCACAGGAGGTAAACATGTTTTCCAGATCTCCCACTCTCCCTCTGTTTCCCCTCGTGTGCTTTTCTTTCCCTGACTCACAGTCACATCATTTTTCATAGCAGCACAGAGATAGAAAAATTAAACCGAGCAATTTGTTTTCAGTGCCCGGGCGCACCTACTGCCAGGAAACTTCTCAAGAGCCGGGGAAAGAAGAAGAAGAAGAAGAAGAAGAAGAAGTGGGGGGAAAAAAAATTCAGCTTTGAAAAGCTGAATTCATGGGATGCCTTTGTTTGAAAAGAGTGTAGCGGATAATTGATAACCACAAAATGTTCCAGCGTTATGGGGCAACATCTGCACAACGCCTGCACCAACCCAAGAGAAAAACTGCTACTACAGCTACTCTCCAAACCTCACTGAGCTCGATATGGTTTCTGACTCGCTCGGCCCGCGGTGCTATCGGAGATAAACAACCTGAGAACCTCGACCGCGCTGACCCAGCGCCCCTCTCCAGCTCCCTCGTCCCAGCCTCGCACAAGTCTTACGGTTCGTATTTATTTAGCCACGGTCTACACAAACCATTACTTTCCCAGAACAGACACAACACAGAGCAGTCAATGACACGGAGGTGGTGTGCTGCGCAGGGCCGAGGCTGCCGAGGGGGATCGAGCAATACACAATACAGTTATTTGTCATGTTGGGTTTATAAAGGGAATCAAACAGCTCCTTGTGCTCCTTAATTGGGGCTGGGTGGAGTGAAACTCTGGTGCCCAGAGTGAAACAGCGGGGTGGCGTGTGCCCAAGCCCTCATAACGTACAGTAAATATAAACACATGCTCCGCTCGGGCCGATGTGGCACGCTGAAAGAGTTCCCTTGTCCTCCGACTGAAACTTCTTCCTTCCTACCGCCCAGAAAACACGTGGACTTGGGAAGTCGTTGCTGCGGTGTGGGCGTAGTTCAGACGAGACCAACTCCGGACTGAAAACAAGGCGGCAGATACTGACATCCACTAACGTCCACCGTGACAACAATTCACTCAAGTAGAAGTAAAAAAAAAAGGCTCATTAACTTCTCTACATGAGTGAAAGTACTTGCTTTTAAATATGCTTAACGTAGTACAAGTTAAATCCATCGTTAGAGCTGAGAGTCTCTTCTGAATCCATTTCAGAAGATTCTCCTTCAACTTATTCTCGTTTAATAGCTTAACGAAGAGTTACGCGCAACAATCCAACGCAAATGTCCAGCAACACAAACGATCCTGTGTATGTGACACCCTAAAGCAAAATGGCGGCGATCCCTGTGTTCTTGGTAGAACGCGTAATAATCTAAGAAAGATGGGGGTGGGGTCTAATGCTACCCGCCCGCTCTCATTGGTTCCCGTCTTGTGATTAAATATAAAAAACAATGGGAGCACGTAACGCAGCTCATTGTAAATATGTGGTGGAGTAGAAAGTACAGATACATGTAGTTTGTACTTAACTACACTATCTAAGTGAAAGTACTCGGTTACATCCCATCGCTGGCTGTGCTAACCTACAGCTACGGAGGCGCCCGACACTGCACGATGTCCTGCGGGTGCAGCGCTCTCATCCAGAACCCCGTCTCCGAACGAGATTTTTATGAATCATACACTGTAATTTATGAAAACATAATCCCCGCTGTTTATGTGGCTGTAATTGATTTGTTTATGAAAACAGCCATTGTTCTCCGAAGTGTCTGAAGCAGCCAAACCACCGAATGGCTCCGAGTGGAAGTCATTGTTTTATGAACGAAACCCAAAGCCCGCTGACCACGTGCGCCACCAAAGAAAGGCAACTAAACAAAACCACGGCTCGAAGCTAGATGCTAACACGTGAAAAAGAAAACATCCCAGCGTCCTCCGCTGCTGCTTTACTGTCTCCACTGGGCTTAAAAGGGATGAGGATGGTTATCTGTCGTTTTCTACAGGTAATTCCAGACGCCATCTGGCAGCCTTCGCCACGGTAATCCTCCCACAGTTCAATTTTCAGGTCGTCTTACACGTGAGGCTGCTACAATCATTAAGGCAGAAACGGCTGTGGGTGTTTCAGTCTGGATTTCCAGCTCGTCGGGGCCCAGAGACGAGGAAGTGAAGGAAATGAGTCGACAAAAATCTCAACGTTTGCGTTCAATGGTTCGGCGTCAGATCTTCAACGTTAAAATAGAAGAGGTCTGTGTGTGGATAGTGTGTTTTAAGGTTTATCAGGTTTTATATCCATGTATTTGTTGCTGTTACGCTCCGAGTTGCTGAACAAATTCTTTTATTATTATTAATTTTTTAATCATTATTATTTATACTATTATATGAATTATTTTAGTGTTGATTATATATATTTTATATAAACTGTTTTCATGTTGTCTTTTCTGTTTTCAGTCTCTAAATCCTCATTTTCAATTCATTTTTTAAAATCCTATTTTTCTCAATCATTTGGAAAGGACTTTGAATTGCATGTGATTAATATGAAAGGTGATTGGTTGATTGATTGATTGGTTACCTCCATTAAGGAGGTTTCGTTTTCACTTCTCTCCAATTGTTGGGATGGAAAAAAGAAGGATGGGATATAGTCAAAGAAAGAGGAGATACAATTTTGGCACAAAGTTGGGAACCAGATTTCTTTTGAATCACTTTCTTTGACATTGAAAGATTTTCAGATTTCCCAGTGAACAGTTCTTGGATCTTGATGAAACAAACGTTATCAGGGGGATTGATATCTTGATTGAGGTTTGCACTCAAGTAAAATAAATGCTATTCTATTGTTTCATTAAACTTTTCCACTCTGTGTTCAGTCTCTGGCCCTCGCTCTGTTTCTCTCTGTTTCTATTTGCAGTGCAGCTTCTCTTCTTATAGACGACACATCTCGTGTGAGAACTCTTCCGACGGATCACAACCAGAGCAGTGAACCGCAAAAAGGTGAATAAAGGACAGCGGAGCCTCATTTCACAAATGGAGTGACTCAGATTTATCGCAGACTGCATCTTCTGGGCAGGCCGGGGCAAATGAAAGCAAGGTGCGACTGGGTCAGGTTTAGATTACAGGCCCATGTCTGAAATCTCCAACGACTGATTGGCTGTAACCAGGAGCGACAACTGCACTGATGCTATCTCAAGGTGATTCTACTGGAGGCAGGCGACGGAGGCGTGATCACAGCCGACGCCACTGTCTCCGAGCTCGGACTGAGGAGCAGGTGACAGCGGGCGTCTCCACAGGGGTGAACAGGGATTTCCTTTAGCATGAGTCACGGGCGGCAACAACAACCCACTCACAAACATGAATATTAATCCGTGCACGCAGGCAAACACATGCGCTTCTTCCTCTCTTTTCTTTTTTTTCTCCCAAACACTCAGGCCAGTGTTTCCCCAAGATTCTCATTTGTCAGCAGAGTGGAAACCTCATTAAGAGCACTGGACGCAAAAAATAGAAACCAAAACAAATGAAAGTTCTGGTTTGTTGGCAGTATCTTCAGGCAGAGTGACCCATCCTGTCTGTAATTGCAGCGGAAACTCTGACACACACACACACAGACACACAGACACACACACACACACACACACACTCGGTTACACGCACAGATACATGTTGACACACAACTCTTGGGACTCTTTGCATGTGTCGGTGCCCACATGTTCTCTGACCGCAGGGTTTTTTGTGAGCGCGCTTAATTGGAAAATTTGCAGGAAAATTGTCCATTGGTAAAATTAAACGCCAAAGCTCTTTATGGCAACGAAATCCACCGCTCTGGATTTATGGGTTTGATCGTTAAACCGTTTCTCAGAGCTCTGCTTTGGCTCGAGTGAAATAACAGCGAGACCATATTAAATTCTCTGATCGCGTCACTTCTACGCGAGGATGCAAATGAGGGGTTTTGCATCTTGTACATTTCTTTTATACCGATGACGCCGCTGCTCCCCTGAGATACATGACGTCTCTACTGTATCTATTTTCTTATCTATTCATGCCCAGAGCAGCTGTAATGAGGAGCAGGTACGATCCACAGGGAACGCACCGCTCTCAGAGTTAATGAACCCAGAGCTGGTGGCACAGAGGCAGCTTGGATAGAGAAGTGGAAGGATGGAGGGAAGTGAAAAACTCGAGGGAGGGGGGCTAGTGTTGTGGAAGCCTGGCTTAAGGGTGTTTCCATGGTAGGATTGCCCAGGAATCTGATGCTGGTGCCAGACGCGGGGAAACCCTCATCAAAAACAAGGCAGCACACCCACCGACACCAGGCCAGAGATGCACATGGCCCTAAAGACCGTCAGACTCGGAACCAGAACCACAGCAGATACTGACCCAGACCAAAACAAAACAACATGAAGCTGCGTGTTTCCTCTTTTTCCCTCGTTGACACTAAACAAACTGAAAATCTACTTATCGGGGGTTTCGGTCCATCACATTCCTCCTGGCGGCAGAAATAATCTCATCCTCGTCTCAACCTCAATATATCAGGTTTTGCTGTATTCGACGCAAAAACAACAAGCTCGTTCTGGAGCTTTCATCGACATCTAACTCAATATGAGATTATCACTAGAGGGTTTATTTTTCAGAACTTTGTGGTAAAAGGGAAGAAAATGTGTGTGTACATTACATTCACCACTTTATGTTTACACCTGTTTGTTTGTTATTTAGCAGGATTACACAAAAACTACTGGAAGGACGAAACTAGGACGAAGAGTGCAGTCAGGAAAGAACCCATAAAAGTTTCTGGATCGGTGGGCGGATCCTTTTTCTTTAACATCGCGAGCATTTTTAGACATTGTTGTGAAGCAGAGAAGATGCATATGTTTTATTTCTCCATCACTGCTCGTCGGTTGGAACGTTCTTTTCTTCTCCTAATTCCGGCAGCAGGATTATTCCTGCCTCCTTACATGAGAGCTGCTCTTTCCTCTGGAAGAGATCAGGGCTGATCACAGAGGTCGGGCGGAGGGGAACGAGGCAGGCGCTCGGACAATCCCTTCTTGTTTTGATAAACAATCTCACTCCTCCATTGTACGGCGCTGGAGGAGGAGGGGTGCAGCCCTGAATTCTTCCTCTCACAGGTGGAACAATGAAAAGGCTTCCCTCTTTTCCTCGTTTCCTTTTTTCTGAATGAGTCACCGGGCTGATAGGATCATACGTGTTTACATTTCTCAGCCTCGGCCCAAACTGAGTCTCACGTTGCTTTGCTGCAGCTAATCAAGGAAATTGCTGTTTGTAAACGTCCTGGTATCAACATCTGGGAGCAGTCCCCTCGCCCTCCAAACCAAAATGGCTTGAAGTCAGAAAAAGAGAAACAAATACTGAGGCCTGGCATGCGTACACAAAAGTGTACGTATCCACACCACGTGCACAGCCACCCACACACATGCACACACCCACACATGCACACGTGCACACACGCACACACACAAAAACACATGCTGCATTTGTGATCCATTCCTCTGCTGAACAGGCAATGGAAACTTCTGCAAATGTAAATCTGCTGGGTTAAAAATACTGCGCATTAATGTGCACCACATGTGGCACTCTGGCAAGATGGAGGATATTTTGACGGCGGGAGAGGAGGGAGGGAGCAGTCTTGGGGTTTCTCCAACAACGGGAGAGGGACACACACACACACACACACACACACAGCTGTACTGAGACGACGCAGCTATTACTCCAAATGTCCTCCTCTTTTACCTTGAGCCTTCTCCACAAACACCACTTTGGAGTCGTGCTGGAAGTTGTGTCCGTCGAGGCGCATCCTCTCCCCTCCGTGGGCGGGACACGTCTCCAAGTTCTGCTTATCCACCAGCGGCAGCTCCTGGGCCGATCTCTGGGCTGTGGGAGGGAGAAGAGAGCCCGGACTCATTGCTCGGCTAATACACACCCACTCCCCATGCAGACCTGAGCATCCAGGCCGAGGCTCTGAATCACTACCTAGGCAGCTTTCACAGACCCGGCGGTGCAGCTGTAAACCTCTGCCCCCTCATGTTACACTCCAGCTCCCTCTTTGCCTGGAAGTAGGGAGAGGCTTTTCTGTTTATTTGTGTTTTCCTCAAATTATGGTGGATGTTTGGTCTCAAATATTTGGTTTCCTCTCCCTGACTCTCTTACCTTTTGGCCTGCTCGTCTCATTCCCCACTTGCTTTTTCAGTTTTCCTGAAATTATCTATGATTTACGTCTTTAAGTCTTGGCCGGGCCTCTCTATATGAAAGATATCTGTGCTTTCATTGTGATAGACCAGGACACATTAATGGAGGTTCACTAAAAGCTGAATATTTTTCTCCTGCGATGATCTCCTTCTTGTAATTCGACGCTGCTGCGTTCTGATTCTGATAAAACTCTAATTCTCGGTCTTTGGAAACCATCAATTTTTCCCACATCCCCGCGTTTCTCTGCCTCCGTCTGTCGCTCTGCTTCGCTCGCACACAAAGTGAATTTTGGTTAGAAACAATTGCTCCGTGGCAGATGTTCAGAAACTAACAATGGTCTATTTCTGGGGGCTGAGATCATGGTTTAACTACTGTCTTTCATTTACCTCATAAGACTTAATCTCTATGGCAGCTCTCAGAGCCAGAACCACATGAAGTGTCTCCCAGGAAAGGTCAACTCCACTGTCACTGGAGTTCATAAAGCAAAGGTGAAATAACCTTTCCACAATCAAAGCTAGAGTTAAATAACTTATAGCTACATCGAGAAACAACCATCACATTTATATTCACACCTTCAATTTAGAGTTTCCAATTAACCCAACTCCAGTCTGCACGTCTGGAGGGAGGAGCCACAGGAATCATGTAAGACATGTAAACTCCACACAGGGAGGCCCTCGCCCTGACTGGGATGCAAGAGAATTTCTGCAGCAGTGGTGACTGTGGCTCATGAGGTAGACCGGGTTGGTGGTTGAATCCCCAGCTCCCTCCATTCATTGCGCCAAAGTGTCCTTGTGCAAGACACTAAAACCCCAAAATTGATGGAGTCACCAACCAACAGACAGAAAAACTGAATCTGGAGAAATTTATTTGGTTCTCTGCGTCTATGTTTTTCTTTCAAAATATAAATACGGTGGCTCTGAGAGCTCAATGCACTACAAGTTAAGAAAACAGGTGCCAATAGACAATAGAGGAGGTTTGGTTGTGTTGTGATTATTTGCCACCGTTAAGTCCTGACTCTTCAGAGACCTTGTTGGGATTCAGTTAACTGAGAAATCTAACAATTAAAGCACAATTAGGAGGCGCTGTGGGTTGAGAGGAAGGGGAGGTGTACTCACAGCACTCGATGGGATTGGATGCAACCTGCAGGGACACCGTTCTCCCCGTGGCCTGGTTGATGTGAATCCTGAAAACCATCCGCACACGTGTGTTCTTGCGTCCGATGTCGGTCTCCCCCTTCCGCAGCTCGATGTCCGAGTTACGCAGCTTCAGGATCCCAGCGCAGTCCACTCTGTTAGCGGAGACACAATGATGAAGAGTCTGAGTCTGCCAGAGTCTGTCTGTCCACGAGGACAACGATCATGTGCATTTATGACATGTATGCCGTCACGGTAAATCAGGCGGTGATTTACGGAGCCGTGCAGCCAAATCAAAAGTGATTTTCACTCTGGACTCCGTCAGCGCGGTCCTGACGGAGGCTGCGGCCACGTCAGGAGGAGATTTACACAAGCACCCCCGACAGAGCGTCCACACCTCAGTGCTTCTGCTCTTGGGCGAAAATCAAACTCTATAGGAACGAATGGCTGGGAACGTTTATTACATCATCAATATCTTTCTTATGATCTGTAACAGATGGTTGCCCCTTCCACACGTTTAACAACCAAAGTAAATTCTTTTTACAGTGTCAAAGTCTTCATCATGCACTTCATAAACTCTCCACCATTCTGCTCACAGAGAACTTTTTAAAACCCCAAACAGTTTCTAGCTTTTCTGCGGCCGTGCTACTTGATGCCACATTCCTCAAAGCCTAGTTAATGTTAACTTTTACACACATTCGAACACTCCCTAACATTCTTCCTGCCAGACACCAGGGTCTGCTCCACTGGCAGTGTAATCAGGTGTTGATGCTAAGGACCCCAGCTGTTCAGCTCGCCACCTACGCACATGGGCTGAGCGCAAAACCACACACTGAGGCGTCCGCTCGGTGCCTGAGAAAACGTTTGAGAAAGCAGAGAGGAGGGTCTGCACTTTTCTTTTTCGGCCATCATTGAATTTATTTACAGTTAACTGGAGTCATACCAAGTCAAATGAGGCCTCGTTATCGGCTGAAACATTTTTAATTGATAAATGATTTAATGAAAGATGTATCCCCGTGAATAATATTTCAGAAATCTAACGATGCCTGTGTTCTTTATCACATAATAAAACTAAGACATGTCGCTCTGTCAAAACGAATAAATCTCACGCAAATCCCTCGTCTAAACTTTAAGCACTTTGAGGCGTGTCCTCTGTGAGAAAAGAGAAACCGTATCCCAGGGTGAAGTCGTTGTACGAGGGGAGCTTATGTGTTGCATCCATTAAAACGTGGAGAAAGTGCTGATGCAAGCAGACTGCTGCTGCCTGCAGCTCCGACAGAAACCCCAGGTCCCTGTTAGCGGCTCTAAGCTTCCCCAGTAATCTGATCTCTGAGGCTTATAAAATGGGAAAGCCACTCGTCTGTGTGCAGAGGGCAACGCTTTCAAAACCCAAACACTGCAGGAGGCATGTAGGCGCACAGACATGCACAGATACATGAACCCAAAACAAAACTTGTATCTCCTCTTTATAAACTTTTATTTTTCGGTATGGTACCAATCTGAGAGGTTTTAATTGGGGCAGTGAAATTTCCCCTCGGAGAAAACTGGGAGATGCGTCTGTTGGATCAAAACCTTCAAAATTTGGAGAATTCGAGTAACAACTGTGATGCGAATCTCTGCAGAGCAGCTGCTGTTTATTGGCAGAAACGGACAAACTGTCGTCTGTAGTGCATCAGATGTCTTAGTTTTAGCCTTAGTTATCTTTATAACATTTGAGGTTCAAGTTCAAGTCAAGACTCAAGTCTCAACACAGGACTTTTACTCACATCTTTAGAATTTATAAACAAAACCCCCTAAGTCCTTTGTGCAGTCTTACTTTATGATCTCTGGAGAAAGCAGATTATTTA